GGGAGGACGTGAGATCGCTCTGAGATGGGAAATGATAGATCAGAGACGGCCTAATTCCTAAAGCTGATGCTTATTTCTTGCATCAGTCTTGATTTCCAGGCGCGGGCACTTACCCTAAAAGGATTTCTAAAGCGCAGACGGAGCAATGCTCCAGATGTCTGGACCGTCATTCAGACGATGTCAAATTATGACAGATAGCATGACAAAAGCCGGACAGAAACCGCAAACCGAGAGGAATGGAATGGTGATAAAGTTTCCAGCAATTTAAAAAGCTATTACTCTGAGAGCAGATAATGATGAGATTGTCAAAGACATGTTACAAACAAGGTTTTAATATGGTTTTAAGTCAAATCAGATGCTTTACACAGAGATAAGAGGAATTTGCAATCTCTAAAGGAACCCCAAAGATAAAACGATTGCCTGGATGGATGGACGGATGGATGGACCTGTCTCATCAAATATGACTTCAAAAGAATTTGACTTCATAATTAATGCCTTAAAATTTAGACCCCTGTCTCTTAGAGAAGGTCCTGTTCTTTCCAACTTTCCGCCTTCAGGAAGTCATCACAGCGGCTCTCATCCACCAGCGTTGCAGTGAGAAGTCACTCATGTTTAATGAGCTCAGCAGATGCTCAGCTCCACCAGGTGTTTGCTAATTGCTGCTGGCTAGTCTGAAGGAAACTTGACACTGTAAGCTCATAGGAGGAGCTTCACCCTCGAAGGCGGAGCTAGGCTTACCCAGGTGTTTTGGACTGTTGAATGGTTGCCATGGGAGATTGCAGGGTTTCTCCAAAATGCAATAAAGCAGCAAAGCAAGACTCCAGGTATGTTTTAGATCGGGGAATACTATTATAACATGATGTGAAGTCGATTTTACATAAACATGCTACTTTAATTGAGGTGGGTGAGATCTTTAGGTGTTCTGGGTTCCTTTCTTCCTTCATTTGATCCTGGATCACGCTGATTGGCTCTCCATTCTTGGGAAAGTTTACCAAGCAGTAAACTGGGTCCTCCTGTACTGGGTACAGTGGTCCATGTCTCCTACATTTGTGGTTCACTGGAGTCCCAAAGCAGTAGAAGTGACTGATAGCAGCCACTTTCTTTGTTTTTCATTTGCTCTTAACTTGTTTTTAGATCAGAAAACGATGCAGTGGTTATTCAGATCTTTTTACCTCAGAACAAATTTCAAATAAAAATGTTAAACAGGAGGATTTATTGGCGGAAAATGAGAAAAGGCCAAAATAACCAGTATTACATGCATGGTTTTCCGATCTTAGATAGCACAAAGAAATCAGGTTTTAAATGACGCGACACTTATTCTTTACCTTACTTATGCTAAACTTTAACTTTTAACATGCTAACATAAATCTATGTTTGAATAATACTGATTTATCTTTTTCTAATCACAACTTTCACATGTCTTGATCTGTGTCTTCACAATGCTGTCGGGATCAGGTGATCACCTGATCTGTTCCTCATGAAACAAACTGGTGTGTGCAATTCAATAGTCGCTGGAAGCAAATTATTATAGTGCATCTTGACACTGATTAAAAAAAAATACACATAAGTCTGTCAATATTTTCTGGACTCTTATATTTTACATAAGATATGGCTATTTGCATTCATCTTTCCAAATCAGTAAAGCATAGGAATGGGTACATAATGCACTAAAATACCGACAATAACCATCACAAAGGAAACCAGAGCAGTGCTTGTTGGGATAAAGGAAACTGGTTCTCCAAATATTTTTAACAATGAGAAGTACTCAATGGCGCCTCACATCGTTTCAGCCCTCGTGAGAACTCTGTTTGGAGGAGAATTATGTGTTTTACCACGTTAGACGGATACTTTGGGTGGCAGGTCAGCTTCAAGGAGCCCATTAGCCAGAGCCCATTCTCCACCTCTGCTGTGTCCTCCTTTCTTCTGGCCCTTTTTCATTTTGGTCTGGATTTGTCAGTGCAGACGTATTTCATGACCTTTCTTTGTGAGACTAAGTAAATGTGCTACATCCTGCCTGCCATCCTTGGTATTGATCATGCTTTTTAGAGATTTTCATCCCATTTCATGGTAATGATAATAATGGAAATGCACTATGTGTTTCAGAATTGGTTTGATGCAAAACACATCAGGGCACAGTTCTTGAAAAATCTGAAAGGTTTTATTAGATTTCGGAAAATAACTTTGATCCTCGTTTCCAAAACGAAGAATGGAAACAGAAAACAAAAAAAGTGCCGTGGTGTGAAGTTTTTTCCAACGTGTCCTATTTCGACATGAAAAATGCCAGAAAAGAGTTCAAGCGAAATCAATTACAATCAATATAGATGCAAAACAATACTGCGAACAATTTAACAAAATAACAGTAATACTGATGATGATGTCTGCTTTATTTATTTAATTGTAATTATTTTTTTTTGGGGGGGGGGGGAGAGGGGGATTGTTGTATTTCTGTTCCTCAATCTAACAGATAGATTTTTTTTGTGTTTTTTTTATATATTTAATTGGATTATTATATCTCACAGCTTACTTTATGACCATATAGAAATTCACTAAGTTGTGTGGATAATAAATACATTCATAAAATGTTCATGTTTTTCATGAAAATGTTTAACCTTTGTTAATAAAATGACTAAACATATTGGGAAATTGCTGGACATGTCCACCCAAATAAAACAATATTGAAAAATCCAGCCATGTAAATTGTGTCTTACTAACTTCTCATTTCTTGAGAAAGAAAAACTGACTGGATTTACTTTGAATGCATACAGATTGTCTTGCAAAACTATTTACACTAGAACATTTTTACATTTTGTCACATTTCATCTGCAATGTTCAGATGAATTTAACTCACAGACAAACCCACAGTACAGCTAATTTTAAAGAGGATGGAAAAGTATACATTTCAAAACATTTTCACATCTTTACTCTGATGCCCCTAAATACAATACACTGCAAACAATTGTCCTCATGGGTCACATAACTAGAAAATAGAGTTCATCTGTTTGTAATATAATAAATCCCAGTTAATCTAGCTGTTCTGTGAAAGGTTTGTCAGAGGACATTAGTGAAGGAACATCATCATGAAATTTAAAGCAGGATCAGGTTACAAAGTAAGCTTTCCCTTTTCCCATGCTTTAAACATCTTACTGGGCCCTTTTCATCCCAATGGTGTACCATGTTTAATTAATAAAACGTTTGGTCACTTTTTAAATAACAGACACATTACAAAGCAAACTAAATAGATTTGCTATTTTAACATATCGGGTTGAGATGTTTTTCTAATCTATCAATAGCGTAATAGGAATTAATTTATTATGACATTATTTTCTTGGGTAAAGGCAGAGCTGCAAACAAGTCACTTGCTCGTTTTTTTATTTTTATTTTTAAAAAGTACTACACTATTTATTTATTTATTTTATCCAGTGCATCGGATTTTGGTTAATGTTTTTCTGGCCATCTGCCTGTTTTTTGTTTTGTTTTTTTCCATAGGAACGTTTCGTGGAACCTTATTTTGCAGTCTGAGTTTCACACCGAGGACTTCCGCTCCGACGGACTGGAATGACATAATGGTAAACAGAGTAAGGTGAGTCTGATTTATCTCTACCGGTTGGAGCGTGACGGCAGTTTTACCGCCAGATAATGCAGCATCGGTCCAGTAAGACATGGCGGATGTATTCAGAGCCGGCGAGACATTGTCGGTGACGTTAAAGTCACATTCATCCACGATGGAGAGCGGCTACCGTTAGCTGTTAGCTCACATTTGCGGAGGATAAACAGGCCTGACGCGAGCAGACTTGCCGGTCAAATGTGAGATTAATGAAATTAGTTATGTCGTTTGCAAGCGGTAATTGCAAAGAGAGGAGTGTGCGGCGCATTGTCAATTACTAAAACGACACAGAAACTGTGGCTTCGGTTCGGTCTCTACAAAGATGCTGAGTCTTAATGGACTCGGAGGCAAACACTTGAGTAGGACCGGATGGTGAACGCTGCTGATTATTCCTTTCTGACAGCGACTAGCAGCTCTACACTGAGGCCAAATCTTCCTGTGGAGATGTTTTTTGTTTTGTTTTTCAACGGAGAATGTGTTAGATGGCAATTAGATGATTTTAATCTGATTAGGTTCAGGTTTAAAATGAACTTATTGAGTTAAATGTGAACAAAGACGATTTTTACTGGGGGGGGGAAAATGATTAAGAAAATGAAACACAATTTGCTTTGGTTTTCTCAGAGTACATGGTGCACCTCTGTTGAAATTAAATGTGTGGCTTCCAGCCTGAGAGAAGATTTTTCTATTAAAATTTTAAGAAACCAGTCCTCAGATGTATTTTATTTTACTTAAAGGAAGTAAACAATTTGTCAAGAATTTGATGAGCAACGTCATTATGGAGTGTATGTTTGCCTTTTTGTTTTACACATGAACAGTTTTTACAGAAATATGAATGAAATTGTCCTGGACAAACATTATCTGTGGAACAATAAAACCGGTAAACTTATGTGTAATGTTATAAAGAAGACATATTAATATTAATCTTCAAATTAATATTACAAGAACGCAATATTTGCTGTGTCATGAATTTAAGCTCTGCAGATCCATAATGTATTTGGTCCGTTGGATGGAGTCCGGCTGCAGTAGATGATCAGAGACAGTCATAGAAGCATCTTGACTCATAAGATATCGCCACAACATAAATGAAATAATATTACGACCTCATTAATGTCTACTATTGCGTAGTTTTAGTTCTATTAAGCCCAGTGATTTTGGTGCGCTGTATGGTCCTGATGTAAAAGACATCACATTACATATTAGTGTAATGTGAAAGAATTATAGAACCCTTCACAGATTATTTGGGATAATATTGAGACACCAGATAATTAGAAGAAGAACAGACTTATCAAGTTTATGTAATTATGCAAATTTTTTTTTTTAAATGCTGTCTTTTTCTTTTAAAATGGCTAAAGTCATACACAGGCGTACTGAATCAGGCTTTCTGTAGCGTCAAAGTGTTGGGTGATTTAAAGAGGTGCTTCTTCCCACTGAGAAGGTCATTTGAAACAAAACATGCCAACATGGCCGTGCAAGATGGTTCACCCTGAAAGCAGATCGCATGATGCTAAAAGAAGCACACACAAAAAAAGTGTCTCAATAGCAGGTTCTATAGCAACAGATGATATGAAAGTATATATCTCTACAATCAGAAGTTGATGGAAGATATTTAACTTTCATGGGAGTTGTGCAGGGAGAAAACATTTGATCTCTTAAAGAAAAAAAAAACATGGATTCCACACAGTTTGTCAGAGAGAATATAGACAAAATATCTGAACTTGTGGAATAAATTCATTTGGACAAACAAGCCTAAGTCCGGACAAAAGAACAAAGGACAAATTCAGTATTTCAGGTGAGTAACCCATTGTAGCATTTCCTCGTATTACTCAAAACCATTGGTGACAAATGTTATCCCACTTGTTCGCATATGTTAATTATATCTGGTCAGTTGAAGATGGTGATTATGCAGCCAGCACTGCGTTTGTCATCAAATGTACTCCCTCAATAATATCGCATGGAAAAAAGCAAAAAGTTACCCAAGTGGTAAAAACAGAAAAGCAGTACCTGGAAACAGTTGGAACATTTAGATTGTGATTCACGTGTAATATTTATAGAAGTGATATTTTCCAGCATCCCTGTTAGTTGGTTGGTAGAAGATGGATTTGGCAGCTCGTCTGGTTTTTCGTGATTCATGTGGAGATCAGGAGGAAACTGGATGAGTAACGGATGTCGATGAACTCAAAGCTGAGTCTGCAGGCACATGATGTCACTCTAAATATGGTGCGTGGTAAAATGTTAATTGATACAAACTTTACAATAATAATAATTTGCTCCAAAGTGGTGAAGCTACAAATCTTTTGAATTGAGACGATGGGGGAGGGGATGATCTGTGACTTGTCATCTTGTGTTCTTAGGCCTCAAATCTTTTCCTGTCTTTTTTTGGGGGAAATATCTTAAACAACAGATCTAAATCATAAAGATTTTAAATTTTTAAAAAAGAAAATCAAGAATATTTCTGCTGCCACCAAACCATCTTAGAAAGTTCCCTTTTGTAGCCCTGAATGATTTGTACATATTTTAACCCACCAGACATTGTATTCTAGTGATGTAATGTCCATTAAATAATTAATATATGAAGGGGGAGGAAGAAAAATCAATAGGAACACAAATGACCCAGCGTATACAAACAGTATATAGAGGGAGGAGGATGAGGATAGATGAGCATGTCAGGCAGATGGATGGTAACCCCACCCTGTCCTGATTCCTCGCTGCTCAGTCTGCCGATAAGCAGCAGAGGAGGAAGTCCATCATTATTTTACTGGGACATAAATGGCGGGATGACGAACTCTCTTCAGCTAATCGAGATACCCTTGGTATGTTTGAAGTCAAATCTTTATTTCTTATCTGTTTGCTTCAACAAACGCTTGGTTTAAATGAACAAAATCAACTGTAACATGAAGTCGTTTTGTTGCTTCTTTGAAAAAAAAAAAAAAAAAAACGAGACACAGCTTTCTTCCTGTGAGTTGTGCATCTGTTCCTGGTATTGGTTTTGCACAGCTTGTCTTCACTTCCTTCTTCTTTCCTCTTTTGTTACAGAGAACGACCCAGACACAGACCAGCTGACCTCACAACCAAAAGCAGAGCATTGATTTCAGTGTCTGGATAGTGAATTCACAATCAGGCATTTTTGCGTGTTCGGAAAGAAAAAAGCAAACTTTCCGAACTGGAAAAGGAAAAGTGGAAGACAGTCAGTCAGACTTCAAGCAACTATTTGAGAAATTCTCAGACATGCTGAAGATGATTCTTCTATTCATATCGGACTCTCATGCCCAGAAGACTCCATTATGTCCTTGTAAATGTTAGTTTTGCTTAGTGGTCATGATTGCAGGGCTCTTGTTCCTGTTCTGGAAAACTGCCTTGCTACAAGATTAGTTACTCAGGGGAAGTCCTGTCCTTTCACAGCCATGGAGGGCCTTGAGCAGCTTGATGTGGTGGGTGACATCAGCCCAGCTCTGGAAGCAACCGAGGACTTCATCCACTCCATGGCTGGGATCCAGAGTCAAGGCCCGAGCCTCGCTCAATCAAGCAACCGCCAGCCCGCCAGGGCGCCCAAGCAGCTGCAAGATGTGTCCAGCTCCGCGCTGGGCAAGCTGAGCTCCAGCGGCGTGTGGAACCTGCTGGCCGGAGAGCAGCCGGAGGTGGGGCCCCTCGGGTTGGCCTGGGCCGACAACTTCAGCGTTCTGGGCCTGGGGATGGGTTTGAGGCACGGGAAGAGGAGCCGGGCGCGCTCCACCAACGACCTGGTGGCCCACATGCAGGAGTGCGCCAACAACGCCGGAAACACCTCGTCGAAGTCGGTGTTTAAGAAAGGACACAATCGGTCCAGGTCAGACGTCAACTACCGTCCGTCTGCGTACACGGACAATGGGCTGCCCGCGGTGGACTGCGACACGCTGAAGAACATGATCTTCAACCAGCAGCAGGACGGTGAGTGGACAGACAAGATCGTCCTTCATATGATGATTAACTTTACAAAAGAAATGATGACAAATCGGAGTGAAGGTAATTCCTATTTTAGATGTTAAATTAGATTAAATTTGTCTTTAATTGCAGTACACTAAGATTTTAGTTTCCAGGTTATAGTTTTTTACTCACATTTGTCTCTGACCCCTGGTCTGTGGCCCCATGTCTGCTTGTTGATATTTTGACTTCATTTGAACCAGGCTGCTTGGAGTCAACCAGAAATATATTGAACACTTTCACCGCTCATGTACACTTAGTAGTTCTTAAACCAGAGTAGTTGTTAGAAAAATGCATTATCAAAGGAACACTGTCCTTTATTTTCATGCTGAGGCGTTTGTCTGTGTCCAGTATTATTGTTTTCTGTTTAAATCATCATTCATAAATCTGTGTGTTCATAAGAAATGTATTCACAAGTGGAGGAAAACGTTTTAAAGAGACGTCTCCTAAAAGTTGAATGTGTCTCAGGCGGTGATGAGAGCCATGTTCTGAAAAAAGCAAGCTGTAAAAATGTCAGCCTATAATAAGCACACTGTGGTTCCTTTATTGCATAATTGGAAATTCTGTTGTTTCCTACTTTTGGTTTCACAATAACTTCAAGAAAAATCTTCAATTCAGCAACATGCTGTCATTGTTGATGAATATCAGTGATTGAGAAGCGAAAAGCCTTTATTTTTGTCGATCTTTTTGCTTTATTTCTTGCTTTCCCAAGTAGGCTGTAGTAAACTAATATATTCTTCACCCAGCACATGCGCTAATAACCTGGCAACATTTATCAGGTGGCCATAGTAACGTCATCCGTGTGTATGTGCTTTTACAGTTTTAACCCCTCGTGTAATTTCTCTTATTTAGGAGAACTGACCCTTTAATGACGTAGGATTTGCCTAATTGGACATTCATGGTGCAAATTGTTGCTTTCGCTCTTTGAAGATGATGTCATGCCCCCTGTTGACCAAATCATTGAGTCTGAAGTGTTCTTGATTCTCACCAGAAGGCTGGCCCTTACCTGAGAGAGCCTTCCTTTCCCTTCCCCAATCTGACCGGCAGTCCATTCAACGAAAAGCTTTCTCAGCTTTTGAGAGGCTCATGGAGGACAGAAGTCCCCGACGATTTGTACTGCGGATCGGGGCGTGTGCTGCACTTAGGTTGAAGCATCCCCAGAGAAAGCAATAATGATAGAAGATGATGATAACTTAAAATGACACAGCTGTGGCTTGACCGTCCATATTCAGACTGAGAGCGCTACACACACACACACACACACACACACACACACACACACACACACACACACACACACACACACACACACACACACACACACACACTTGCAGAGAGCTCATTTGTTTGTGTGTTTTGGCTATCCGAAGACCCGAGGAGATCCGAAGGGATCCTGAGGGATAATAGCCCGTAATCCTGTCAGCAAATGGACTCAAATGAGGCGAGAGAAGAGGCAACCCAATTACCTTGCCGCTGATACTGGCAGGATTATTTAGTATTAGCATATGTGTGAAAAGGTATCAGGCTGTTTAGACTGGCGAGATGTGCATTGAAAGAAGAGAAGTAGGAAAAAGACGGTAATAAGCAGAAGCCAAAGTGATTTACTGGGCCTCGCTGTGCCTCTTTATTCACATAAATAACAAAAAGGGGGCCTGTTTGCCTTTCCATTAGTGACAGCTGGGGATGTTTAGATGGTAAAAAGAAATGAGTAGCACAGTTTTATGTAAGCAATATGCATACTGTATTTGATTTCAGACAAAGTCAATGTGAAGTTTCTTTAGGATTCTTTTTGGTCTTGATTAGAGAAGATATTTCTTGCTCCTCAAAATTGGCGTATGTGTTTTCCTGAATATATTTTAAAAACTAAACTGTTGGTACTTCGTTTGTGACGTAAGATCATCTGTGGCACGTTGCGTCATTGAGACAGGTCATACACAGATGTCTCACTCGGCTTAGAAAAACTGCGAGCAGCTCTGGCCTGCCAGTGCAGCCATTCAAGAATATCAATGTTCATCAGCATGTTGCTTTTTATTTCATAAAACGTCAAAATAAGGCATGTTATTGAAATATTGCTGCTGAAAATTTCAGTGACATTATGAAATTAGTATTTTTTTAAAACTCTTTTCCTCCTTTACTCTTAAGGAGTCTCCCAACTACTCTTGGTAGTATAACTTGGGTGCAGACATTAAACTCTTGTTAGAATCCTATCTTTAAATCTTTTTTTATTACCCTTGCACACAGGCATTGTGGACCTGAGTGACAAGAAAGGACTTTGATTTACAGAATAGTTGTGTGTGTTAATTTATACCACCAAGTAAAACTGTCAAACTGGAAAATAGTCTGTTGCATATATCAGAGATCTGCAGCATGATTGAGTGAAACACCGGAGAGTTATTTAGTTGTGTTGAGTGTGAGCTATTAGCTATGATTGAAAGCCTCTGCGTATGTATGTTGGACTATTATTAGAGTGTGGTGTAAAAACCCAGCAGGTAGCCATGAAGGCTAATTAAATAAAGCAGTTTTCCTCTCCACAATTCCTAATTCTCATCTCGACTCCCCCAAGCGTAAAGTCTGCCAATCAGTTAGACCCGATTCCAGTTAATCCTATTTGCATATTTATTTTATCCCTTTAGCAAAATCTTTGTTAACATGCAAGGTCCGTGATCCTGAGTGACTCCATGTCTGCCACCGGTTTGATAAGATTGATGACAGCCTGCACTCGCCGCCCTAAGGCTAACCAGACCTGTGAATTATTTACCCTTTACGTCTTTCTAGATGAGTGATCCGGTGCATTAAAGAAACAAAACGCATTTATGCCCGTTTAGACTATGTATTGTGCTTTACAACTAAATGAAATTGAGAAACTGCTTTTGAAACGTCTTGTGATTGCTGCTATTTTAATTAAAGCTCTTAACCCAGTAAGAACAACTTTTCAGGTTAAACCAGTTTTAAAGCTTAAACAATCATGTTTTAAAGCTGAAAATGTATATATATATATATTTTTTGATGAAAGTCAAAGGATCAGGGCTACACAATATAAAAAAATCTTGCAGGGGTGATAAAGGTAGTATATATTGTGATGACAATATCACTCGCCATATATGTCCATTTCTTTCCTCTTTTTGTCATTTGTCTCAGTTGTAAACTAGAGCTTCATTTTAATTAGATAATTTTGGGAGAGCTAAGATCGATACTGACGTGAGAAATCAATCTTACCTACCACCACAAAAGTCTGAAAATCAGCCACTGTCCCCTTTCTCTCTGCTGTGAGATAGGGCTGATTGCCGGACCCAATCAAAATGTCACGTCTTCACGGCTGTGGTTAACAGCAGTCACCTCATTAGAAGAAAACAAGCAAAATCGACAAGTCAGATTTTTTTTAAACATCAGATCAGCCAGAAAATTGCAAAGTGATGCACCACTAACTTTGACGAGTGTCTTTAATGTCAGGTGGGAGCATCGGTGCAATTGACCAAATATTACATTTGCATGAAAAATGCGAGTTCAGAACACTTGGAATATAAGAATAAGATTCTATAATAGCACATCACCTCAAACATGCATTGCTTATAAATGTTGTTTTTGGCTCGATGCGTACAGACTTCACAGTCTTCACTGGGTTCGTGTCTTGCTCCTGCTCGCTGTGTTTTCTTAGAAACGGGGATCCGGATTCATCATGTTTCTATTTTAGACATTGTGAAACCTGCTTTGCTTTCTTCTCTATTTTGAGTGGTGTACATGGTTCCATTTATCTTCATTTCTATTCCGCACTTTTTGTTATTTGTGTGAAAGCTGAAACACTGAGTTTGCTCTGCAGGTGGCTCTTTTTGTTCCTCTTTTTATTGGTTTCAGTATTTTTATTGCATTAAAACGTCATTCAGTATTTCATAGGGCATATGACAGCATTATATTGATTGATTAAGTAGATTTACTGTCATTGCACAGAACACAGATTAAAAGGCATATAAGAATAGACACAAGTATGGTCTGGGAAAGAAAAAAAAATGTTTTTCAGTCTTATTGTCTTTGCTTTTATAGTCTCTTACCGCCTCCCCAGCTGCAGTAGTGTGAACAGATGGTGACTGACAGACGTTGTCTTTTGTCTGACAACACTGTGAAAATGATCCCAAGTCAAATTTTAGGAAAACTTGATGAAAATCCTGTAGGCAGACAAAGTGTCTGTGGAACTGATGATGAGAAACATTATCATTATCAGAACAAAACAAAGAAAAAATAAGTGAAAAAACTTTTTCTTTTAATCACTTTTGGAAATTCTGAAAAACAGCTCTCGAAACTTCTTCTTTGGGTTCGCAGAAGCACCAGCTGGATGATCAGTGTTTTGGTTTTTTTTTGCTATATGTTGAATGAACTGATTCCAAACATGCAAATATAAGTCATTTATCTAATTTCTCCTTTTCTGTTTCCAGTTGACAAGAGCAGCAGCAGCAGCAGCAGCGTTGTGAAGCAGGGTGAGATGGAGCAACGTGAGGGCCCACGGGGCCGTTGGACATCCTGCTACGTTGAGCTGACTCCCTGTGAGCTGCGGCTCTATACTCTGGACAGCAGTGCCAATCGCCAACTGGGCACTGCCTACTCTCTGTCGCACTGCCAGAGCGTCATCGCCCCGGCACCCTGCAGCCAGTCCAGTCAGATGAGCCAGCCTGGCGACAAGCGCACACTCCAGGCCTTGTTCTTCAACAGCACACGTCTCCAACTGAGGGCAGCCAACCAGTGGGAAGCGATGGAGTGGCGGCGGCTGATGTGGGAGAAGGTTCAGGCAGCGAGGCCCGCGAGGCAGGACAACCGCAAGCATAAGAACAGCGTGGAAATTCAGCAGAAGTTTCCTGTACCGATGTCGCCTTCCTCGTCGCCCTCTCCCTCTTGGCTCGACACCCGACCTGACGGGGATGGCGACACCCCAACTTCATCTGAGGCGTCGCTTTCTGTGAACTCCGGAGTGTTGAGTCGGCCAACCACCCTCCCTCTGTTCAACCAGCGCTTTCAGGATGTGCTGAAAGCTGGACTTCTCCATCTGCTGATGGATCAGAACAACTGGCGGGCCTTCACTTTCGTCTTGACGAGATCTGCTCTCCAAGCTTTTCCGACTGAAGGCAGGGGGTCTGTGTCCCAACCGGTCCTCCAATTCTCCCTCGCTTCTTGCTCGTCAGTACAGCAGGATCTTGTACCAGAGACCGGAGACTCATGGGCGGATAAAGGGCAGTGTTTCCAGGCCACTTTCCCCAAAGAGATGCTCAAGCTCAAGGCGGATGATCACCTGAAAGCCCAGGAATGGGTGGAGGCGCTGCGGCAGGCAGTGGACGCGCAGAAGCCCATGCAGGAAGACAAGAGAGAATCAGACGGATCTCCTGGTCTCCAAGGAGTGTTACTGAGGCCCAAACCATCAAGGGACAGGAAGCAGAGGGAAGCCCAGAGAGCCAAGCGGCAGTCCGTCACCACCAGTTTCCTCAGTATTCTCACCTGCCTGGCTGTGGAGAAGGGGCTCACCGCTCAGAGCTTTAGATGTGCAGGTAAGTGGCATTTACAGACGCCACCAGATTCCTGCAGAAAGTATAACAGCATAAAGGTTTGCCTACCTTTCTGTTTCTTAAAGTGATAGACAGGCATCATATCTCCATATGCATGACCAGTACTTCAGTACTGCATCATGTCAAGCACAATCATGACTACAGCGTTGCCTCAGCTGCAACAAACTGTGGCCCAAAAGTGTGAAGCCGTCCTCGTAAAAATGTTTACCGACATTGAAAGGGGCTAACCAAGCCTGGCTTTAAATGTCTTTGGTTCGTTTAAATGTCCACAGGACCCACGGGCTAAAAGAGTCACGTTTACAGCCCTAAAAACGATGACTGGTCGACCTGAACTGGCAGTTAGAAATGGTTTCATTGTGCATGTGACATTTTGAACCTCTTAACGTGAAACATTTTCAGCATTGCCCTGGCTTATCTGCTCGTGTAGCCTCTTATCGTCAGCATGAGACTTCCTCATGGAGTTCTGAGAGAAGCTACTCTAGACACAAATTAAGTAGCATATTTATAAGGCCTAACAACGAGGTGTGCAGCCTTTTATCGCTACTTAGCCGTTAGATCAAAACGGGTAGGAGACTCCTTCATGATGTTCCCTCGGTCTAAAGCCCCTTTAACGAGATGAGCTGTCGGGAGCGGCGCTCTCCCTCACCCACCTGTTGCTGTTCTCTGCTGATCACCCAGTTGGAAAATAATGCCCCCAATGCTTTTTCTTTGCCTGTGCGAAAGACAAATTCAAATGTCTGAAAATGGCTCATCTTGAGAGACTGTTAATGTGTGAAACCTAAAGCAGCTCCATCCGTCGCTGATATTCATGCTGATGCCGTTTTGAAGCTGCTGTGGGAATGAAAATGTTGCTCCGTCAGCAAATGGCCGTCTTTCGGTTTTTACGCTCCAGTTTACGATTAATCGATTACCTAAGTAGGCGACGATTATTTGAACAATTGATTAATCACTATTAATCCAATTAATTGTTTCAGTCGCACAGTAATTATCAGTATGTCACGTTTCAGTAGTCACAGGAATAAATGCAATTAGATTATGCCATGCCTTGTTGCTTTTACTTTTTTCTTTGAACATCTTCACTCAACATCATATTAAAGCTATTGTTTTATAGTTTTATAGCATTATTATTCTTCTCCACTCTAGTTTGTACATTAATAATGTGGACTTGGAGTAAAACATGGAGGTCTCCCCAGTCTTTCATCAAAGACTCCCAAACCACTCCATGACCTCGGTTAACTTCAGTTTTATTAGATATTTTTTCTTCTTAATGTACTCTTAAATCCCTTCTTCAGATTAGGACTATTAAAGTCTCTGCCTATTAATATTAATATTCCAGTTAGTCCTCATCCCAGACCCTTGGACAACCCCACAAATGGCAGGCGGTGCTTTTCCTCCCCCTGGGTGTGAAACGTGGGCTTCCTCTTGCTCTCTCTTTTGGAGGGCTTTGAATAATCGCCGCTCACCTCCCTTTTTATTTGTAACCACTGGCTTTATTAATGCAGGGCTGTTTGAAAGGACAGCTGAAACGGGAACAAGGATGGGGGGCCGTCCGGGGCCAACTGATGATAATTGGCGGGCTTAAAGCGTTGGTGGAGAGGAAAAATGGATGAATGAATGAACCTGTGAGTGAATGAGAGCAAATGAAAGCTGCCCGGGGACGCTACAGTGGACAGCTGTGAGCGGAGGGGTTTGTTGGAGGGGTTTCAGGTCAGAGCTGGATGGACGGGACAGCTGGATACGTCTGTTTTCTATAGAGCGCTCACCTCGGCTCCTTCAGCCCGTTTATTACTCTCCTCTTCTACCTTTTCATTCTGTTTGCTTTCACCAGTTCATTCATGTTCAGAGCCATGTCCTGTTTTTGTCTCCATTTCGCCCGCTGTCCACCCGTTCAAAAGGGACAGTATCCCTTCTCACTCTCCTGCTGTCTTAATTAGCAGAAACCAGCAACTCTGTTTAAAAATTTTTGTTTAAAAGAATTTTAATTTTAGGTTTTTACGGGCAGTTTATTTTTTCTTATTCTGTTTTTTCTCCTTTATCTCTCATCCAGCTGCTTTAGTATTAGAGCGTAAGGGGACATGACGTTTCTTGGACCGGGGTCTTAAACCTGCAGAGACCCATTTGGCTCTTTGCGTCCGCCACTGTGGCTCTTAAAAAAAAAAAAAAAAAGAAGAAAAAAAAAGTTTTTCTGCAAGTTCTTATGCATGCAACATCTACAACAGGCTTTTAAAAGGAACCAACTTCAAACTGTGCTCCATATATTTCTTCATTTTCCATTTTCTATAAAACAAATACATTTTAGTTTAATTTAATTTGCTTTCATAGTGAAACATTTTATTTTGGACATATTTATAAAATCACTTTTTGTGGCTCAAAATATGAGTTTTGTTTTGTAGTACTGAGCTCCTTGAATGGAAAAGTGCCTCCTAGATGCAGGTTCACCTACTTTAAAACCTATATACTGTAAATGGACGGGACAGCGGGATACGCCTGAAGAGAAATATTCCTGTAGAAAAGAGGGGTATTAATCTCAGATTAGCCGAGACAGTTAGGTGAGCTACTATAATAACATTTTAGATCAGATTTATAATAATTATCTAAAATTAAGACTTTAAATGTCTTAAATTATTTTAAAAAGATGTAAATTGGCCTTAAATGTGTCACAGATTTTAAATATTTAATCTCATATAAATCTATGATGTTTTTTTCTCTCAGGATTTTCCTGTCAGGCAAACATTTGCGTTGTGTCTTGACGGTGGTTAAGGTGACAAGTAACAAGCTGCTAAAACAAACATTAGCTGCTACACCCATCTTCAGTTTCCACTCTTATTTTCTTAATCTTTCTTAATCTGATTGTAGAGTCTATTCCGCCTTTTTGCATTTGCATATGCTGCTTCCATCCACATATGTAACAAATGACTAGCTGCTTAGCATCAGAATGTACTCAGCGAGCTATGGTACATAAAGTTAGGTACTTTTTACATTTCTTTGGTAGGTAATGCTTTACGTTTGAAGACTGACTCCCCGACGCTCCTTAAACTCTCCCCACATCTGCGATTTACACACACACATCGCCGCCTGATTTGGAGGCCCCTGTTGTTGCACTGGAGCACGTTCTCAGGCCCCTGATTTACCATGTCAGTCCATTAGATTCGAAAGGGGGGTGTGGTGGGGTGTTTCGAGTGAAGTGGGAATCGGTGAATTCAAGGGAACTGCGGAAGTTGGAGGTTCACTTCAAAAGATTGACAGTCTCAGAGGCGCGCGCACGCGGAATCTTAGACTCTCCATTTGTTCACGTTTTCATTTGAGTGTTTGGTCACTATGAATGAGGAACATCAAAGCTCACGCTTCTCGTCTTTTCAGTTTTAATTCACACATGTACAGACAAGACACACACACACACACACACACACACACAAGGCAGTGTCCTGTCAGAGGTGTGGTGGTTTGAACCAGCGGCGGGGAGATGAAAGCAGGAGTCCTCTTCTTGCCCTGATGTCATCTCTCTCTCTTTCTCTCTCTCTCTCTTTATTTCTCCATATCTCTCTCTCTCTCCTGGTGTGAACAGGTCAAAGTGACCCTCTCTCACTACAGAGAGCTGCAGTACAATCGGTGGACCTTTGAGCCACGTTTGAATTCCCATTCATCTTTCCCTCTGTCCCTCTTCCTCTTCATCCCAGAAAGACGCATAAAAGATCAGAGACGAGGAGAAAATTCAGTTGTTGCTCAGCCGGTTGAACAGTCATTTGTTACTCGAACATTAAAGAAGAAAAAAAAAATAACAGCGTCGGGTTTAAGGTAAAAATTCGACTTTGTACGATCTTAAAAATCAGAACTGAAGTTGAGGGTTTTGTGTTTTGAAAACTTGAAGGCCTTGACGGTTCCTCTCAATGACTGCCTCCATCTGATCAACAAACCATTTTACCACCGGCATTGCCAAAAAAGGACAATTTTGCAATGCCATTGACAATGATGTACGCTTCTTTGTCAAGTACCCCAAAACCGTCATAACACCCAGAAATTCATATATCCCCAGTACTGAGTAATATTTTTCTAATATTTTTAGGGTGTTTAAGCTGTTTTAAGGGAACAATTAATGCAGATAAACAATTAATGCAGATAAATTGACAGAGATAATTTATCTGTTAGTTTAGCAGTTTGAATACAATCTGTCCTGGGACTCTGAAGAATCACCGGTACACAGATTCCCATCAAGCACCAGATGTGACAAGGTAATGGAAGGTCGTCAAGGTCAATTATGAGATTGCATTGGACAACATCTGTGGTTAAATTTTGAGAATTAAAATCACACATCTTTCAAATCAAGAGCATTTATATTCTGTTTTTTTTTCCTTATCACTTTTAGTTAGGCTCATCTTGAGCTTAAACTCTTCTGGTTTTTATAGAGTTATTAGGCTACGAAACTCTTAAAGGAACTGCAGCAAATGTGAGCAAAGTATTTTATTTGTGTTTATATATGGCAGGGTACCAAGATTGAGATCGTTCAGGGTGGATTTGAAGGGCAGACTGGAAAATTCGTGCTTGGATTTCTCCACTTCTGAATAAAGCAGGAGTGGACAGATGAAAACTCGTTAGTTCAGGGACTGTGCTGTGTTTCATTTTGGTAAATGCAAGTATGTCATCTTTGTCAGCTCGTCAAGCTGGTGTTTATGGTTCTGCGGCATTTTTAAATGGGCAAATTATAGCTCTGTGATCAATTTAATAGAATTTTCTTTTTAAGGCAAAAAGAGGCTGCATCAGTACAAAAAAATTTTTAGTTTAAATAGTCCCTTAATTTTTTCTGGTTAATTCACTATTAGTAAGCAGAGACCAAACAATTTCAGTCTGACTCACAAAGTCCTCAAGTTAGATTTTATATGCATATAATATAAACACTCCTTATTTCATAATAACAGCTCAGTGATCCAAGCTGTTACAGCTATTTGCATATTGTCAGTGTTCCACAATGCAGCTTATGTTTTCTGTCAGACTTGTCCTCTTCTGCAGAGACGCTGCAGAGACGCTGCAGAGCGCGGTTGGACAAACTTTTGGCTCCATGCGTTTGTTTGTGTGGGTGTGTTCAACCTCTTGTGCTCATGATATAGAATTTGAGGTAAAGGCTTTCTGGCTTTGCGAACGTTTTCGGGCTTTTTTACGCGTACCTCTTTGTTCCCGCGGTCCCGGCGGAGGCAGACTAAATCTGAGGCCACATATGGCCAGCGAACTGCTCTGGTGGTTTGCTACTTCCTCGAAGTGACACAGTGTTTCCCTGACTGCTAACCATGGCCCCAGCGTGCTGGCTCGCAACCGGTGGACTGCGGTTTACTGCAAGAGCATCCACCCCAAACACCAGCATGAGCTCACCTCTATAATTAGCGCAGCTTTATCGAAGCTAAAAATATGCACTATAGATGTTGGGGTTTTTTATGGTATCTGCAATAAGTCGTACGTAGGTGGGTCTCAGTACATTGAAGAGTTATTTTGTCTCACTGCTTCTAGTCAAAAAGTGAAAATCATGAATTCATTAGGCGCTGATTGGTGGTTTTCTAGCTTTCATTTCTGTCAATTTTCATTCACAAATTGCAGTTCCTCAGTTCATTTCAATAGTACATCAGACAAACAAGGAAAACCATGTTTACAACTTATAGTTCTCATATCAACAGGTTTCTTTCTTTATTACACCAGTACACGTTTCGTGGAGCCTGTAAGGATCAATAGCGAGTCAGCCAACATGATGTGACTGATGTGTTGCCGACTTACACTTACAGTCGCGGATGTGAATCATCGGTACCAAAGCTTTACGAGACCAAACGGCCGGGTCTCTGAGTTGGGATCGTAGCTAGAAGTGCAAAGACCTTTGCTCTCGTGTTAACGCAAAATGGATTTTACGGCTGTAAAATAGGTTTTTCTTATGGCACATAAACTTTGTAGTGACCCCTTGAGACAGGCAGCTGTTATATAAGAAACTTATTTGGCATTAAAGCAAATTTGAATTTATTACGTAGCTTACTTCAAATTTGACCGTTTTCAGTTACACTTTTGTCAAAGTACAAGAAAAACACAGTACAAAAGTTTGTCTTTGCACCCAGTTTATTTTACCAGATTATCAATGTGTTTTGTGGCATTTTTTTAAAATATAAAATCCATTTTTTAACTCCAGCACTCAGCAAACTCTTTGAAAGATAAAATTTTATAATTTCCCTTCTATTTCTTACTTGTATTGTAAGAAATTAACCATTTATGAGGAATCATCTTAAAGTAATTTTTGTTACACATTTTTGCTATTAAAACACCGCTTTGTATAGTTATAATGATGAAACCAACAGTTCTTTGCCATTTCTACAGTCTATAAATCAAGAATGTCAGAGTGTGGTTGGTTCATCTTTAATTTTGTTAGGCTTGTGTCAATTTTTATGATGAAGAATGAAGTATTTTTGAACTGAATTGATGTTGAAAACACTGACGAACTTAATGAAGCTCATTTGGTGACGTTTAGATCTTGAACATTAACGTAGCATTGTATCCCCCTGATATAAACAGCTTGAATTTGAGTCGTGTTAAACAGCTAAAATCTGCTGAAACAGGAGACTAGCTTAACTTCTGACTATTTACAACTTTTCTGAACGTCTGTTATCAAACGTAAGGAACTAAAACTGATAGTCTTTGTAGGATCTCTCTCAAAAATAGGAATAGTTTGGCTACAGGAATAATCTGCTCTGTTTTAGGCTAAAGCGTTAAACATGAAACAACAGCTGGTTGTCAAACACCCTCAAGACGCCCAGAAGTCTAATATTTGTTCAGACGTCAGCGTGCATATTACGTTATATTATAAATTTAACGGTTTGGCTTATTTGGTGTGTTTATATGGGATGCAGTGACGCAACTGATTTAGACAAAAAACCTACAAAGAAAATAATAACTTCACCAATAAAGAACTGTGAGGATGACATTTTACAGCTTCCGTGCGTCTGAGTTCCAACATGGGTATCCTTTTTTCTCTTATCAGATAAAGGATGAATATAGCGTTAAATGCTGATTACAGCATTGTTTGTGTTGATCAGAGAAAACGGAAAAATAGCTGAGCTGCCTGAGCCACGTTGGCTCCCTTCATCTGTCTTCATCTGTTTGTGTTGTTGTCTCTCCTTCATTCTTTCCGCTCGTCTCTCTATTCCTGGTTGTTATTCCATCTTGTGTTGGAGCACGCTGGACATGCCGACACATGTCCAGCTACTTCCGTCTTTCTTTTCTGTCTTTTAGGTAAGGTTCTGCTTTTGTTTAAAAATAACCGATAACAATCTCCCGTTTCTTTTCTTCCGGATCTTTCTACTTCCCTCCTTTGCCGTTTTCCTCCAGGCTTTATATCCTCTAAGATGGTGTGGATAAGGGACACCTGGTGTCGCCCTTCAGCACTCCAATGTTTGGGTGTTCCTGATCACAGAGCGGACCCGGGTGTTTGGGTGAAGCACAAACTTTAAAGGGTCGAGAAGACAAAGGAGGCCAGGGAAGCTATCAGGCTGAATAGTTAAAAAAAAAAAAAGAAAAAACGTCTGTCGGAGCTGCTGGTGTACAGAGATCTTGTTGTCCAAGGATTCCTGGACAGGGAGATTGTTTTTGCACATTTTGAAGCTCTAAGCATTAACTTTTATTTAGTCAACTTTTAATTTGGGAATGTTTTTTTCGTTTAGTTTTAATAATTTTCTCACTGAAAGCAAAATCTACAAGATTTCCTAGCTTCAAACGAATCATTATTCTTAATTATTCTTCATTTCTTTGTTTTGCCTTGAAGGAGCTCAGGTGTTTTTTTAAGGGGTTTTATGTAGAAATACTCAGCTTTTCACATCTTGGTGTTAGGACTATTTTTAGCTGCAGATGCATCCTTTGCTACACATGACCAAGCTTTCACTAAAAAAATGATATTTTGGGCATTAAAGTGTTTAATTTTCTCATCTAAAAGAAGCTAATGGCTTAGCATCTAACCCTAATATTTAATGAAACATGTTTTAAAAGGTTAAATAAAAAGATCTGCAAAATGTGCCAATATTTTCTATCCGATTAAAAGAATGATTGTTAGATAGTTTAATCGATTACTAAAATAATCATTAGTTGCATCCTGACTTCTTTCTTTTTAAGCATCATAACGTTCTCCCTTAGCATCATGGTTTTGCTCCTCTTTCTTTACAGTTTTTAGGTTTTGTACTTTCCATAAATAAAGATTTACTGTGAGGTTTTGTATTTTTGCTTCAAAAAATGGTTACAATGACATCTGAAAGGTCTGGAAATGCTTGGAAAATCCACACATTTTAATTTAACAATATAAGAAAACCTTGTTCATAAGCAGTGGCTTCCCCCATGCTTACTGATACTCTCTCTCTCTCAGGGTGTCAGCGTCCGGTCGGCCTGTCCAAAGAAAAGGCAAAAGTTTGTTACTACAGCGGCTGGTACTACTGCCAGAGCTGCCATCAGGATAACTCCTTCCTCATCCCTGCGCGGCTGCTGCACAACTGGGACACCAGTAAACACAAGGTGGGAAAACACACACAGCCAGCCTGGCCTTGTCTGACAGGCAAAGAAAATCACAAGGCATGTCTAAAGCTCACAAACGAGCGTGTTACGTCCCGCCTTTTCAATCTGCGCAAACTGCAGCCTTTATGTCGGGCTTTTCTTTAAGCCTACTTCATCCAAAACATGCATGAAAAGTACAGCTTGCTTGGGATTATGTGTAATGTATTGGCAGTGTTCGGTGAAGGCAACCAAAAGTAAACTATTAATGTGCTCCTCCAGGTGTCCAAACAGGCCAAGGAGTTCCTGGAGTTTGTGTACGAGGAGCCGTTGCTGGACATCCAGCAGCTCAACCCCTGCCTGTACGAACACTGTGAAGCGTTGAGCTCAGTGCTGCGCCTCCGTCAGCAGCTCCAGTCGCTCAGGGCCTACCTGTTCAGCTGCAGGGCGACGGTCGCCGAAGACCTGAGACGACGGTAGGTCGCCTGAAATCTCACTTTTTGAGCCCTCATCCACCACACCCTTTCTTATTTCAAAAGAAATTGAGAACATGAACTCTTCTGTGCCCTGAAACACAGTCTGCACCTGAATGTAAGTAAACAGTCAGGTGAGAGGCTCCAGTTGGAAAAGTACCAATGAATATATGTCAGCCGGTAAAAGGTTAGTTAATCCTGAATGTTGCAGTGAGCAGCTGCTCTTTCCTTAAACAACCTGAAGTAAACATCCTGAGGCTCTGGAGACGATACAACTCTGTTCAGAACCATCAAAGCAACACAAAATAGATCCTACATGAAGGGGGGGAAAAAAAGGAGAAGATGGTTGAATTTACTTAACTCATATGAAATTCGGTCACAATTTGTTGAGCAATTTCATGTGAGCACTGCAGAGGGATACTTTATGTGTTTGAACTAGACAGCTGCCTCATGAAAACCCCTTAAAGAAACTTGTTTTAAGGTGAAAGGTTGGACTGTAAACCTGGTGGAGCCTGTCAGAGATTTGTTCCCTCTAGAAACAATTTCAACCCGTTTGCCATGTTACGGCAGGTTGGAAGCTAAAATAAAACTTATTATTTTAATGAAAAGAAACCCTGAAGATGAAATTCCACCAATTACTGCAGCTGTACCTTCTTTTACGCAGTAAGACTGCATTGCAGAAGCTTATGCCACGTTTGTGCTTTTAGCTCTACGATATCCACGTTTGGCAACTTTGGACGTTTGTGTGATTCGTGTGTGAGGCAGACATCCTTTTAAACAAATGTGGCTTACAAGTTATTCGGTTGTTTTGGTTACACATTCACTGTCTAATTTGAAAAACACAAAAACAACAAAAAGAAAAAAAAATCAAATCTTCAGTTCCTGTACAATAATCTAAAAAACAACTTTTAAACAAGAATGTATGCACTCACAGTAATTTACATAATTTCTTTTATGATTTAAATTAGCAATAAACACTTTAAAAAATATATTTTAAATAAAGCATGGAAAACAAAGATAGCAAGTCAGATTGCTTTATTTTCTCTTAAGGTTATTTGGAAGAAGAAATAGAGAAGAAGGAAGGAGAGCATATAATGAAATGAATGGAGACATGTTGCTTTTATAGTTGAACTGGGCCCCCGTTTTTTTGTTGTTGTTGTTTTTTATTATTTTTTTAAGAAAAGTTAAAATAAAAGCTCCATTGCCTCCACTAATAGCATATGGTGAAAGTTTCTCAAGCTGTGTTTCACATATTTAAATATTTGTAATGATGCAAAGCTTTGACATTTGTCAATCAATTGATAGCACTAGTAGATAAACCAAAACTATTAATATTTTCAATAATAAAATTGCAGAGGACTGCTTGGATGTTAAATTGAGTTTTCATGACTTCTGTCATGTTTTCGGGTGGAGGGATGGATTTCCTTTGATGCCTTAATGGCTTCTGCAATTCTTAGGCTCACAGGAAGCGGTGGGGGCATTTTGATTATGGAGGAAAAATAGAGGAAAGAGTCAACATGTGGGTTAATCATAAATGTCATCACAATATTTTACAGTCTTACTCCAACGGTGTATTTGCACAGAATGCCAAAAACCTTATTTTCACCATTTGTGTTTGGTATATTGAAGGCATTTCGGCATTAGGCTGAACCTCACAGTTTTGCTTTCTGCAAAACTTCGACATTAATGATTCACTGAAAGAACCTAGACGCATACGTTTATTTATTTTTTTCCAACTTATCATAGTTTGGCCACAATTTGAGTATGCAGCAGTGTAAACCTACCCCCCTCTGAATGTGACGTTTCATCTCCTTTTGAATGACAGCTGCAGTGAAAATTCTGAAACATTACTTTTACATTCTCATCAGCAAGCTTCAAATATCTTTGTGTTACTTTGTTCGACCAAGATCAGCTAAATAAAGCGAGTTGCTGCTCAGAGAAGCGTTGTGGCTTTCTGTGTTTACTTCTGTCCCATTAGCCGATGCCGGCCAGCGGCCCACCACTTCTAAACACTCCAGGATTGATGAGGCCTGTGGCACTAAAACCTTCCTGATGTCATCCGTCTACATGGGGGTCAGGGGTCTGAAAAGAGAAATCTGTGGACACGCACACACAGTTTTTACACCAAACTGTTGAGGCGGTGCTCGTGCTAACTGCGCCCCAGTTCTTTGTGTTTCCACAAAAAACGCCAGCTTCCTGCTGGACCAGAGGAGCGACCCGCTTTCGTCAGGTGCTGGGGGCGGGCTCCTGGGGATCAGCAGCCAATCAAAACGTGAGCGACTTGTTATAAGCCTGGAGCTTCATAAATCTTCTTCGAAAAGCTGCTTCGCTGCTGATGCGGATAAATAAAAAAATCAGCGGATTAAAACTGTAAACTTTCACAAGCACAGCTGGTTGTTTAAAACTGTTAGTAAACGATGGTTGGAACGATAGGGGATCTGTTTCCAGGGATACTGGGATAAATAATGTGTGGTCAAGTTGACTCCATGTCCTACAATCAGTTCGCAAAAATGCAGAGAAGATCTTTTTCTGGGGGGAATTTTGGTGCAGTCTTTTTTCAAAGTAAATAATGGCACACAGTAAGTTCTACTGTTGGCCATTTGATTATGAAGTGATGTAGTTTTATCACCTGAATCAAACCAGACGATCCCTACTTGCGCCTAAAACCTGAATGTACATTCCCGTAGCTCAGTGCTTGTCAGTTCCAATCCTCAGGCACAAATGATTGCATTACCTCCTCTGCAGGCAGCAAGAACTGCAGAAGCCTGTTAATCACCCATAGATTCAATCCAGGTGTGTGGCAGCAGGGAAACACCTAAAACATGCAGGGTGGGTGGGACCGGAATTGAGAAGCGCTGCTGTAGCTGAACTTTGTCACATTTTATCACATTACAATCTTAGATAACTGTGTTTTAGTCTGATTTTATGGAACAGAGTAAGTCACAGTAGTGCATAAGTATGATCTTTGTTTAGATGAAGGTTTAAACATGCAGCGGGCAAATGCAACCCAAATCTTGTGATATTTTTTTTTTCTTTTTTTCACCCGTATGGGACTCGTATCCAACTTTTTCATGGCAATCTGAATGGCCCAATTCTGACATTTTTAACCCACAACCCTAAAACCTCCAATTTTTTCCCACTGCCATTGGTGAAATTAAATCAGATGTATATCTGGTAGTTTTAAAAACGTCTGCGGCGTTCTGAACAGTCATGTTGTATTTTATCTCATTGACAGGAAACGTGTCATAGTTTTGACAATGACTGGAAAGTACAATTCTGAAAATGATTAAAGGAGTCTATGTCAGTGAAGTGCATCACATCTTTTGTTTGGCTAAATTCATAATAAAATGCTTAAAAGTTTCCACTTTCAGGTCAGACTTTATTATTTGTGTTGTTGGGGAATTGGTAAAATAATAAAAGGTTGAATTATGCAACAAACATGCATTTTCTGACTCAAGTAGGGTGAGATAACTTGGTGATAGAAAGCCTTGATTTGCCACCTTGACACTTACCACTTACTTTGTACTCCTCACACTTGGCGAAGTCAGACCTTCCTTTGGTAAACCATCATAATCCCAGAGTGATAACAGTTTTGATCAAAGGTGTGTGTCATGCAGTGAAAAATCCTGCGGTAAAATGTAGACTTGAGGGTTATAAGGTCTTGCAAACATAAATATTTAAGTAGTTGCTATTTGTGTACATTTGCAATTCTGTGTGAGGCCTTTCTAATCTAATCTTCTGAAGTGTTAGCTCTCAAGTGTTTCTAATCAAGATCGACACACGCGGCACAATCTCGGTTTTTTGTGTCTGGGCGTGTTTTGTTGTCGCTAATGCTGATGCGGTAACCGTTGGTAACCTGCCAAACATCAGATTATTGTTGGTGTCTATCGCCATGGTGTGTCTGGATCACACGTGTCCGTGTACCGTAGCGACACTCATCACAGCTTTAGGTGGGATTTACCGCAGTGCCGTCTATCTCGGCTGTCCGAGAGGAGACCTTCACACACCGAGGCAGATTATCTGACCTTGTTCTGACCTTGAAGTATTACTGCTGCAGGAACACGTAAAATTATTTGTATTCCTTTCACCTTTTTCACATTTTATGTTGCACTTCCTTGTGTTTTACTGGGATTTTATGTGGTAGACCAACACCAAGTGACTTGTGATACATTTTAAACAAGACTCCTGATGGATTCTTTCAACGGTGGCTTTTCTTCTTGACACTCTGCTCCCGTCAGCAGATTCTCCCACCCAAGTTTTCATGGGTCCAGGTTGTTTCTCTGGTTACTGCTCTCTTGTTACCCTGTTCTCTTTCCATTTCCAGATTGAACATTGCTCCATGGGATGTTCAAAGATTGGGATGACAGTTTAAACCCTGACCCTTGACCCTTGGCTTGCTGGCTGTGTTTCTTGGTCTTCTTGATGTTGGCTTAAACCTCTCTAGTTTCCTCAGGGCCGTCAATTTATATTAATTGACGGCTTTATACACACAAATAGACATTTTACTAGTTAGATAGCCTGATGAAACTAAGCCCCTGGTTCTAATTTTTGCTTTGTACAGAAGGTCTGCACCCTCAAAGTTTTAAATTTGATCCAATCGCTAACGTTTGGGCTGTTTGACCACATGAAGCCTACTAGATATTCCTTGCACTGTAAATAATCATCCTCTGCTGAGAAGACAGCAGTGTTGGCTGTTAGTATTAATTCAGTACTTGGAAGCGTGGCCAACACAGACTGAACGACTTCCTTCACTTCTTCCCCCACCATTGCTGAAACTGCAGGCAGACTGTGAATCTAAAACAGCGCAGAAAATTGTCATCATTCACAACTTCTACTCCTCTTTGCTGATTGGCCCGGTTGAAATTCTACTGTAGGAATCCACTTCAATGGAAGAAAGTCCAGATGGAGCACTGAACGGAGATGAGAATTGGGCATCATTATGCCCATTTTCTTTGCCAGTAACTTGGCAAAGAAATGGCCAAGTTAGAAGTAAGCTAAGTAGTAACTTGGCCATTTCTTTGCCAAGTTACTACTTAGGTTACTTCTGAAGGGAATCAAAAGGTTTTATTTAGAGGTAGCAGGGTCTCAGATATTTGCTTGCTAAGATAATTTAAATTCATCATTTTCCTTCCACCTAACAATTATGTGTCTCTTTGTGGCACATAATAAACTTTACTGGGCTCAATCTTCTTTTTATCTGATGGGAAAGGAAAGATTTAGATGTTTCCATCGGCATAAAATGACTTCATGTGATCCAGTTGATCTGATTTGGGGAAAATGAGTAAATGTTTTTGTGTCTCTGACAGGATTTTTCCCAGGGAATACCTTCTGCAGCACATTCACCTGTACTCTCTGGCTGACCTGCAGCAGGTACACATTTACACACTCAAACATACATGGGAGTTGTAGTCGTATACAACAGAAATAACGTATTTTAGTCGCTGACTAAAGACACATACGTTGTTTTTCTTATTCTGTTTATCAAAGCAAACCTTCCTACTTAGTGTCTGTTGTTATATCTCTTAGCTAGTTTCATAATATTAAAAAGGAGAATATTCTAGTTGCAATTTCGATCTTCAAAATCATAAATTTACATCGACTGAGGTGAACATGCCTTTAAACAGTTTGAGAAAGTTTGAATAATAAGCTTGTGGCATTTATAGCCTTCTGATTTCACAATATTTGAGATAATTGGAGACAAATTTAATTCAAATCCTCTCTTTTGGAAAGTTCATTGAAAACCATCGTTTGGATATATTATTCCATCTTTTATTTTTTGGTCTAACCAAAGTTTAAACAATGGCTGAGATTCAGTTGTAAGAAAGATATCCACATTTAACAGATGTATTTCTCTGACACAAAAAAGTAACGCCTTGCAAAATACTGCTTTGGCACAATATTTAATATGATGCTAAGTTTCTGTTTATTTCGGTAATATATGGCCAGATGAATGGACTCTAGCTTCTTTATGCCCACACCGGGTTTATGTTTCTAACAGCTGAGATACTAAAGTATGTGAAGAGGTTTGGGGACATTGTTTAATGATTAAGGAATGAATCTAAAAAGGTATTTACAATATATATCGGGTTCACAGATAAGTTGCAATGACAATAAATCGTCCTCGATTTTCTTAATTTTGGGAGATTTGCAATTAGTCAGTATCTGTACGAGTCGTCACCCCAATGTTGCTAATCTAGCAACTTTGTCACTATATTTTTTCAGAAAAAAATATACATATTTAAAATTTAAATTGGCAGGCCAGGCTCTTTAAAGATTGGTGATCAGCCAAAAAACGGCAGTCAGTGCACCCATGTATATAACTATCCTCAGAGGCATTTTGTCTGAAAACTTCAGTCAAAACGCCTCTGAGGATTATTTGCATAATGATTGTTTTCCCGGCTGACCGTCCTCTGTCGGCTGTCTGCTCACCTTTGGCTCCAGTTTGTTTTAAAAGATGTCATTGTTTTCAGCTTCACATGAAAGACTCACATTTTTGTAGCAAAAAAAAAAAAAAAAACGGAGAAAAAGAAAACACGCCCCGGACTCCCCGCAGTTCAGCGCCGAGCCATCAAACTGAGTTGGGGGTCTGAGGAAAAGCGAGCAGAAATGACTGAAAAGTCCTTTTGTTTGTCATTATGTTCATTATGTAGTAGCTTGGCCCCGTTTTTTTTTCTTTTTTTTTTTTTTTCCTCTCTTCCCCTCTGCTTTCATCCCGCTCTGACTCAGAGATCGGCCTCAGACTCTCACGGTGAAAGAGATTGGACCCCCCTCCTCCACTCCCACACTCTGTGTCTCTCTCTGCTTCACTAATTGGTCACATTCAGAATCAACAGGCAGAAAAACAAAGCGTGACATCCCTCCATTCTCCCCAACATCCCCTCAGCCTCACACACACGCTCGCCGCACATGTGCGCTCCCCTGCTAAAGCTCGACGAGTCGCTCAGAAAACCCCCCAAAGCAGACATTTGCTACTAATTTCAACAAGAGTCTTTGACAGAGTCTGCCCTCTCCTCTTTTCCTCCCACCCACCACTTCTCTCTCTCTCTCTCTCTCTCTCTGTCGGAGATTCTCGAGCACTCTGCCTCTTAATTGGTTTTCCATATTAACAAGCTTGTTTCTTTTGATTCTCCTCCTGAATAAAATGACGCACTTGATCAACGTGGCTTTTTTTGTTCCAGCTCAGAGGTCAGCGAAGGCTGAGCTTCTCCGGCTAAAGCTTGGACCACATTAGTCTTTTCACCTCCTGACAAACAGCCTCCACCCTAAACCCCCTCACACTCCCCCCCTCAATAAGGAGCCAGTTGGTTTTCTAGAAGCCATATGTGTTTGTCTCGGGACACTCAACGCAGTTCCTCGGCCGGCTTTAGGGGCGGTTTCTGTGGTTTTGTGCGAAGACTAAAGTAGCAGGAAGAAAATGTTTGTGTGTATGCATGCAGCCTGCTTCCCACAGTGACACCCTGGCATTCCCTGTATGCCTGGCATGCCTCTCCACTCAAACTTGACCAGACACCCAGAGGCCTCTTAAGTAAACGCTAGGTGTTTCTCAGAAAGATTTCCACCTTCTCCTCAAGGGTTCAGCCGCTGGCGGAGCAAACATAGATGGGAAAAGTATCGGGTGTCCTAAACTTTACGGTCATATGAGATTTCAAAGTTGTCATTTTATTGTCTTAAGTAACAGCATGCAACAAAATGAAGTCGCTTTTTTTTATGTTACTGTGAAAAATGATTAAGATAATCAGCTGAAATGTTGCAGTGGTGCAGCAGGGGTCGTTCATAAATCACCTATCAGGTTCCAAGAACCTAAACATCGATGGCATAAAGACAGCTTAGCAGTTTTTATCCGTCTTCAAGCATCACCTCTTCAGGACGTCCAATTCTGTCTTGGAAAGAAGCGATGTGTTTCCCACCTTTACGGTGACATACATGATGCACTTTTCAACCCAAAAACCAACTGAGAGTTGGTGGAACATATGACAAAAAGGCAACAATGGCTTGATTTCATAGGCTAAACTTAGAAATTCTTAGAAAACTCCTGATTCAAGAACAACATTTAGTCTTCCTAAGTGATAGTCTATCAATATTAACCCTCTCTCACTTGGAGACTTTGCCACGTCTGTCCATTTTAAGTGTTGCATCAAGTTTTAGACTTTGGCTAGGACATTCCAAAGCTTTCGATTTGTTCAGGTGAACCCTAAGGTGTTGCGTGATGAACGCTTGCGACGCTGAAAACTTAAATCTCTGTTCATCTTCTGCTTTTTAGCAAACAAATAAAAACTCCCAGGTAAAACTTGTCTTTTCAATCTATTGCTGTAAATGTTGACACTTACCCTCAGTTTTTGCACTTTGCTAATATCACATTGCTATATTTCTATTTCTCCAGAAAGAGCAGAACAGAAAGTATTCAGCTTAATAAGCGTTTTAAAAACTGTGGATTTGCTAATTTAATCCATTTTATTGGTGAAGTTCATTTGAATTATAAATTAATATCATGGATGCCAATATTATATCAGTTTTCTGTTTTTTAATGAGAGCAAAAGTGTTGATAATAAAATGGTGTGATGTAGTTTGTATTTGTAGTTTTACTGAAACCCAATTTTAGCAACTCCTGCAGCCAACAGAGGTACAGTTTCCACTTTATGCACAACACCCATCAAGTTTTGTGTATTTTCCCTTTAATGGAGGAGAGCGCGTTATCCAAACAGAGTTCACCCCGGTTCTCCCCAGCCTCGTTATCCCAGCTGGCTGGCCAGTTTCTCAATGAAGCTTCAGTGTGTGTGTGTGTGGGTGTGTGTGTGTGTGCGTGTGTGAACGAGGAGGGCACGCTAACGGCTGTTAAACAGCAGTTTTAGGGGATTAGGAGGTTTTGGAGCACAAAGACTCTGCGTGCAGCAGAGAAAGAGTTTGAACTGGAGGAGGAGGGGCAGAGAGAGAAAAGCTGAAAAGTGGGTGTTTGTTATTGGGGGGTTTTTGTGGGAGCTTTTTTTAGACGGGAAAAGGTCAAAGATAATCCAGGTGCAGAGATTTTTCCAGATAAAATTAATAATTCAGTTGATACTTTATGTTTTGTCTAAACTGCGATATTAGATGGTATGGACTTTTGCTGTGCTCTGGCAATTATCGAAAATAAATGACTTTAAAGCACATAAATTACGCCTCATGTTGCCATTTAACCCGTTCTGCATTCCTTAGCGAAGCATTTTATAGCCGTGTACGTAAAGCATTTGTTTATTTTTCTTTGTAATTAAGGATTTTCATAAATGTTTCTCATGTTATCTAAGTAAAATATTTAAACCATTTAATTGTATTTAAGTTTTAAGAACCTTTTCAGACTCATTATTAAGACATATCTTTTTTTTTTAAATCGGCCTCAATAATTTATCTGATTCAACGTTATTCATTCTTCATCTAAAATTGAATGATTTTATTGATTACTTGTCAGAGTATCATCATCTACTTTAGGTTTGACTTTGTCCAACGTATTTCTGAAATATAAAAGCAAATGTGTCCCATAATTTGGAGTTCTGTCTCAATGATCGCTGAAACTTCAAGTATGATTGAGCAAAAACAACTATTGAGCGAACGTCAGCCTCTCTTCGGTTCTGGTTCTGTCACTCGTCTCTTTCACACAGAAGCAACTAAAGAAAGCATGCAGATCTTAGGGAAAAAAATAGACTCTTGCTACTTTTTCAAGAACCGTTTTTTAAACGAGTAAGATTTTAGCTCGTTCTGTCCAGCAGTATGGGACTCAAAATTGAGAAAAGGAACGAGACAAAAATGCAAAACAAATGAAGAGGGGTGGAGCAAAACGTACATTTTTAAAGGAAATAAGAATAGAGGAGATAAAAAAAATGTAAGAAAGAGAATAAAAGACACCTCTTTAGTCTTCTTCTACACCTTCAGAAAGAAAGGAAAAAACGAAACTGAGAAACCACGACGACAAACATTTGCACATGGTAATAATTAATACAAGATATACTTAGTGGCAACCGCAGCCCGTTGTGGAGTGTATCTGTAAACACTTGAGTCCAAACACCTGTGTGTGGGTGTGTGTGATAAAAATAACCTGAGGTTCATCCTCTTCAGGATTTGACCGCATTACAGTTTAGTCTTATGTCATCAGATGTTCATTAAATTTCAACATAGTAATAAAAAAATTATGAAATATAATTTAACTTAATCATGCATTATTCTCTAAAGACTTTAGACTACATGATACTTCCACGTATTGTTATAATTTTCCACATAAACACCAGTTGACCTTTGATCATTCTGAAATTCTGACATCATACTTTTAAAAAATTAATAAATCTCTAATGTGGCAAAATAACTTTAGTTTCTACCTAAAAAATAAGAAAAAATGCTAGGGGACGAAACAACCAAAGCTTCAAAGGTATGCAAGGAGACAAAAACGATCATCTATTTATATGTAGCTGTCTGAGGTCATGACATGACCTGTAGATCTCAGCATCAGCAGTAACTATAGAAACAGGCTCGCTACATGCTAGCTGCAGGATGTTTAGCTTAGCTGTTTAGCTCACTCAACATGACTCTACTTGATGCTGCGCTTCCTTCCCCCTGCAGTGGTTAGACTGGATTTGAGCGTAAAATGGTTGGAATATCTGTGGAAGACATTCACTTTCTACCTTGTGTAATCCAGAGAGGATGCCGTGCAGACCTCATTATAGCTTGGAAAACTCTTGTTAGTATATGTTCCCTAAACTGAACGCTGATCACGGTCAGTGTCTTATCTTCCTTTTCTGGATTTGTTCCTCAGACAAGAAGAATTGGGTTGACACTGTGTGATTATCTGTTGGCTGAATATTTGGTTTAGTTATCTGTTTGGGACGGGTTCATTTCACTCTTTCAGGATCCTCCCACAGCAAACATCAGGCATTAATCAGATAAAAGTAATGGCACATTTAGCCATTTATGCATTTTTTTAAATATTAGATATGCTTTAAAAGATCCAAGGGAACAATTCAGTTATTTTTTATAAATAAGAACATAAACATCGTGTTGTTAAAAAATGCAATAACAGCATTAATTTAGTGCATGCTTGATCTTTTGCAGCAAAGACCTGCAGGTAAAAAAAATCAATCTAACGTCAATGTGTGAAAAGCTCCGGCCTTTCTGCTTGACTTAGTGACTATGTTCTGGATTAGGCAATTGATGATTGGATAGACACTTAATAGGAGATTTGTTTTTCTGTAAAATTTGAACCAGGTGAAGCTGAAATCGCCACTTGAGTTCTGGTTAGAACGTATTTACAGACAAATGTGTTTTTTAGGGGGGGGGAGTATCTTAAATGCAAAATGTATATATGGTATTTTTGTACAGCTTTCACTTGATTCCTGCTCTGAGTGTGTTGCTTTTTTCAGAAAATTGCCTTTTTGGAATCCAGTTGTCGATGAGTCAATTACTAAATTTGGTTTCCAATAGTGGATTTTATCACAATTAACCCGATCGATCGTTTCATCCCTAAAATGCTCTATCATTGTTCTTGAAGAGAAAAATTCAGCTGGACAAACACTTGCAACATTTGGAGATCAGATATTAGTCAGTAAATTCTGATCGCAGCATCTCTAAATGATCTTAGTCCGGTTCTGAAACCTGCAGAGGTCCGAACTCCTCGACTCTGAACTGCAGCTGTTTTACTGTCGTCTCCAAGGACAACTGCAACTTTTCTATGTATTTATAGGTTCATATTAAATTTCACAGTCGGAATTATTGTCCTGCTGTGATACCAACACCCAGTGGCACTTTCATGTAGCTAATAAAACGGTCAGTGATTATTTACTGCGACAGTAACGGCTGACGTATGGGCATTGAAAATGAAAGCCAATTTTGACCATAGCCAACTAGTTTTGATAAAAACAAGCTCCTGGAATTGGATGTTTCGATGAAAAGCACCCAGGCTTTATCCACGCGGAGGAAGCTGGATGTGATTTACTGTTTGTCAAGGTTTCACTCTTTCACAGAGTTACTCCCATGCCTCTCCGTCAGACCAGCCGCCTTCCTGCTCTTTTCCCCGCCGTTCCCCTCGGAGAGCCAGTCAGTCACCAGAGCTCTGCTGCCTTTCGCTTGACTCTGCCCAGTCCAATTATAGGGGGCCTTAATTACCGAGCCTGTCAGCCTCCATCAGCAGATCCATTCGTCATGTGAACTGGGCAGGACCGGACTGAGCAGGCCTGCTTTACTTTGGGTTTGGTTTGGCTTGGTGTGGGTGGAGGGAGACACGCACGTCTCTCTGCCTCCCTCGGGATCGGCCCGATCCGTCTGGCTGCCGTTAGAACTTGATTATCTGGACTCAACCGAGCACGTTCCTTTATTTTAAATGCTCAACACTTGTTTACAGCATTTCTGTTTTAGTGTAAAAGCATTCCCTACCTGTGCAAACTGCGTCAATTCAGCTCATCTCAAGGTGCTTTTTCCAAGTCAAACCATCCAATTCGAGGACAGAAATATCAAATCATACAGAAACATTCAGATACCAGTGCATGCACTTTAATATGGACCTAATATTTAGTAGGTGTAGAGGTGGTTTATCATTTATTGTGATAAACGATACACATTCTGATTTATTGTTCCAATTAATTATGTTTAAAAACCCCCAAAAGGTATCGTTGGGATTGTTATTTTACCATTTCCTCCATAGTTTGTTTCATGAGAATATCAATAAATGTCAATCCATTTGAAAATGTAATTAATTGCAGTTACTGTGTGCAGTTTAGTGGTTCAAATCACACTTGTTTATGTGTCTGGTGTCCTAATGAAGCATGTTGCTAATGGAAGTGTCTGTCAAGAGCTATATGTGGGGCTGACCTCTGTGTGATGTAGTCCTTATTGCCTAAAGAAACTCAGGAATAAGTACCATATGTTGGCTTTTCTTGTCATTATCACAATCACACTGAATTAAAGTCCACAGGTTTGTTGTTGTAATGTTTGGCCAGGAAGTAAATTTTTCTTGGGGCATCAATTAGAAAACAAACCGTCGTCGAGGAGGTAGCATGGAACGGTCATCATGGAGACTTGGGGATCCCAAGATGAACAGTGAACTGAAGCAAGTGCTTTGTTTATTTCCCTCTTGTGTCGCAGTTTTGGTTCATTTGAGCTCTTTACATGTTGCTCGCACTGTAGGTGGGTTAGCTATTTCCTGAGTACACAGAAGTCTACCTCTTTGTTAGAGCATTTAAGAGAATCATTGCCTTTGTGTCGCATCGTAATTATACCCCAGGCACATTCTTTATTCATTTGAAGTTCCTGTACACTTTGACAACCTGAAAAACAAAAGCATAAATACTGAAAAAGTGCTTTATTTACCTTTATTTTACAGGAATGATTGGCTAGGACCAATCAAAACGATGCAGTCTAATTGGTCCGACACTGTTTTTCTATCTGTTGTTAAGGCCATATTTGTCAGTGTCTTGCGATGAGCTGCACAGGCTCTGTTTGGGTCGCTGCCAAAGACCATTTCATTTGTGTCGCAGCTCTTTACTCGGCTCGATCGGATTCAGGGGAAACGGGATGAGTACATCTTAGTGTTTTGCGTTTCATCTATGTGCGTGTGTGGTTTCTTCCTCCACTCGCTGCCTCAAGTCCTCCTCTTGTCCTCTCGTCGTCTGAAAAACAGCGTGAAGGAGCTTATAATTGGGAGGTCCAGAGCTCTGCCAGGTGGAACCACTCGTGTCTGAATGCAGGCTCTCGCTTCTCTCTCAAGATCTCATGTTTATTATACCTCTGCCACTCTCTCCTACTTCCTCCTCTGTTTTTTCCGCTTCTCCTTTTAAAAACTCAAAAAACAAGATGGCCGTTCTGTTGCCCTCTCTTCCTTCTGCTTCCTCTCCTCTTCGTTGTTCTTCTCCATCTAAACCAACAACAGCCTTGGTGTCGTTGTTGCCATTTAAGTTTAATCTGCTTTATAGGATGTGTTTTACGCCTCTTTAGCACTATTCTTCTGTCACCTTTTTGTTTAGTTTGATTTAAACAGTCCCACCAGATTATTGTTTTTAGTGACTGTTGCAGATATATATTTTTTCTTTAAAGTTGCAGTCGGAGTTTGCCATGTTTGCCATAACATCGTCATGGGAAAAAATCAATAAATACAGGACTGTAGGATAGTTAATATTTAAAGTGTTCTTGAAATAGCTCCGTTTACACAAATAAAACTAGAAAATGAGCCTTTCCATGCAAAAGTGCAGCGTGAATGCTGTAGGCCAAAGGTTATTGCTGAAAACCCCAGAAGTATTTGTAATTAACAGAACAATTGCAAAAACAGTCGTCTTCAAAAGCAAAACATTTCTGCTTAAAAGCTTTAAGTCAAAGGTAAAACTCGAGTTTAGCGGTTTAAAAGTCACACTTGGTCGCGTTATTAATCTATAGAATAATTTGGAAAGTGAAAAAATTGAGTCTCTAGTGCAGTAAAAACGCTGTGTAGCTAATTAGCTAACATTTAGCTGACATTAGCTGTTTAGCTAGTATTAGTTGTAAAAAGCTAATGCAATCTTGAATGTCGTAAGACGTCATAAAGCAGGAAGTTAAATTAGAAGGCAGCTGATGGGATTGGTCAGACTTCAGCTGAACTCCAGGAAACGTCCAGGAAAGCTGCGATGACCGCGCAAAAAAACATTTGCAAGTTGTGAATGAGCTTGCATCAACAGGTGTGATCACAGTTTCCTGCAGGGATCATCTAAGGCATTTTCCCTGGTTAGATTGTGAGTTGTGCTAGAGACACACCACTAGTTAGTGACTTTTGATGACATGTAGTCAGGTTTTCAGCAGAAAACTTTACTCTGGACAGACAGAGGGCGATTTATGGAAACCGCAGATCTTTTTTTGGTCTGATGAGTGATACGGTTTGCTTCTTATCTCAATGTTTAGTCTGCCTCGTTGCACAACAGCAATCAAAGAATTTTTTTTCTAAAGAAAGCAGAAGATCGCAGCATTGTTCTCCCTGCTGTTGTTCTTCAAAGCGTTTTCCCCGACCGAGCTTGTTGACTCCAAGCCCAGAGCTGTTGTCATAATGATGTAGTGAGCCGACGGACGATTAGGAGGCTTTTAACATTTATCGGCATTGGATATCACTAACCCCTGTCCTCCGTTCCCCTTCCTCCGCCAGGTGATCGACGGGAAACTGTCCCCCTTCCTGTCCAAGGTGATCAAATTCGCCAGCTCCCACGTGTTCGGCTGCAGCCTGTGTCGAGAGAAGGGCTTCATCTGCGAGCTGTGCCAGAACGGACAGGTCATCTACCCCTTTCAGGAGAACGTCACGCGAAGGTACGCATCCTCACACCGGCTCCAGAGCCCCCGACTAACCCGGAGAGGTCGCGTTCAGTCACGGTTCGGACTTGATGTAAGAGGTGTTGATAGATCCCGTATGAACAGTTTCATCATTACTGTGAGCTAAAATAAGAACTGACTTGTTTTCACTGATTATTTATCATCTTAAACCTCCGACTTCACTGTTTTATATTGAAGAAAACAAACAGGACTTTTTTCCTCTGGCCGTTAAGACGTGATAATCTGCGTGGACGTGTCGCTCCAAAGCTTTCGCTCTGCGTTTTGTTCATAACACCGGCTGAGTCAGAGGGAGAGGGGATTTTCCTCGACACAGTCCAGAGCCTCGTCTTCATCACCGAGAGTCAGAGAGAGGCAGACGGCAGAGAGATAAGAGCTGAAAGATGCTGAGCCGTGGCATGGCACACACACACACACACACACACACACACACACACACACACACACACACACACACACACACACACACACACACACACACACACACACACTCCTTTACGCCCAGCTGTTGAGCTGAGTGTTAAAGTGTGAACTGATAAGAGCTGGGTCTGCTGGCCAGTAAGACTCAGACAGCGGAGAACGGAGCAACAACTAGACCCCGGAGGTCGAACTTAATCTATTTACCGTCGTTGTGTTTAAATAGGAAGCCATAGTTGTAGTTTTGACCGTGCCGTAAGATCACGACCAAGATTGCAACGAAACCTAAATAGAAACCTTGGAGTCGTTCGTTCTGATCTTCACTTTGTAAAAGAAATTGCAGAAATGGCGTAAAAGTTTTTAACTTAAATTGATTTGATTAGGACAGTGGAAATGATCAACATTACTACAACTCAAAGCAGTGCAAGTATGCAGGAATTAGCACAATATTGAACTTTCAGTCTTTGTCCTGAGACTACAAAGCACAAAATAGAGTGTGGATGGATGTGAACATTAACCTGTGTTCATTTATTTTTTTTTTTTTGATTTAACAATCAGGGTCCAACTGAAAATATGGTCTGAATTTATGGGGCAGGAGTTCATAAGTTTCTTACACCTTCCTACTACTTTTCCAACAACAATAAGAGTCTTTTCCATTCATTGTAAATGGGTGCATAACTGGTTTTCTTTCAACCAATGGTTGAGTTTCTTTTTGAAGAATTTAGAATCTGATTGATTATGACGAATCAACTGTTGAATTAATTGCGATTAATCTGATTTAATTGTTATTAATCGCAATTAATTTGGTTAATTGTGAGCAACCGTGATTAATGGGATCAATTGTGATTAATTGGATCAGTCGTGATGAATCGACTGTTGAAATAATCGATTTCTAATTATTGTTAAGTAGAGCATCCTGACTAAGACATGCAATTTGCCACAATCAGAGCAGTAATTAGCCTGAAACAATACAAATAATATTTACAAATATTATCACGATTAATCGGATTGATCATGATTAATCGGATTGATCATGATTAATTGGATTGTTCGTTTCGGCCCTGATTGGCCTCGGTGTTTCCCTGCCGACAGGTGCGACGGCTGCGGCGCCGTTTTCCACGCGGAGTGTCGACAGAAAGCCCAGCCGTGTCCCCGCTGCGTCCGCAGAGAGCTCCACCACAAGCGGCCGTCGTCCTTCTGGTCGCCGGACGACGACAGCCCCGGCTGCTTCCACCTGCCGTACCAAGACACCTGAGGTCCGCCGCCGCGAGCGCAGAGGCCAGGAGCAAACGGGCCGGCATGCAGCCGCCACACGGGACTAAGGGTCTGAGTTTTGGGGGGGGTTTTTTGTTTGTTTTTTTTTTCTACTCCTGCGCCTGCAGGTTGGAGCTCGCTGCAGCTTTTTGGCCACAGGACGAATGCAGCCGCGGAGCTTCCTGCGTCGTTCTGTACGGAAGGAGGAAAGAACCGAATGCTGCGTAAGGCTCTACAGGCCCGAGTTCTCGTCACCCTCTAGTCACGTCCGCCTTCGCTTACCTCCTGCTCCAGGTTGAACGCAACAAATCGCAGCCGATGACACCAGGAAGTGGAAGCACAGAAACCTGGCTGCTTGTCGTGACCTCTTAGAGGCCAAACTGTTAGTCAGCACACAGGACGACGAAGCAAAGCACAAAATCTGCTGCTTTCCTTTTCCCGACATGAGGAGCCTGCTGATGCTTTTTGATGTTTTTTTTTTTATCCTGGATTAAAAAAACAGAAAAATTGATTAATCTATGGTGGATTAAAAAGAGAAACAACATATATCTGCTCTTAAGTGCTATAAGCCTACCGAGAATATTGTTACACTCTAAATTATTTCTAATGTAGCCATTAGAAATCGCATAGTGGGGGAATTGTGTCTGTCTTGAAGCAATACTCCAGTGTTTTTAGGGATCATGAAAGTTGACAGGCAGTAATCTTCTTCCTCCTCCTCATTCCTTGCATTAAACGGGTCACAAGCCGTCCAGAAAAAGTATGAAATAATGGTGTGGAAAAAAATCTTTTTAGAGTTTATCTTTTGATTTGCCACGTCGGAACTTGTGTTTTTTGTCAAATTGTGAGTTCATTTTATTTTAAATATCCCATTTTCTTTTGTGAATTACCAACAGGATCCCGCAGATAAACGCAGCTCATTCAGAAATGCAGAATTTGTTCTCGCGGCCACGAGACGGCGCGATCACGGCTCAAAACTGGTCCTACGGGGCCTTTAACTGGGAACGGTTTAGAAACAACCATTAAAACCTCTTTGTTTCTTTGACATTCAGCTTTAGCAAGTCTAAGTTGCCAAAAAACAGAGTGAAGTTCTTTTAGCACATGGCGCTTTTGTGCACAAATGTCCAAAATGTCATAAAAGCTGCAGGAAAAAATACGGAGATGTTTGGCCAAGAACAGAATTTCCAGAAAATCCAGTTTTCACACACAAAAAAAGAAAAAAAAGTATACTTATAGGAGAAAAAGCAGTCTACATTTCATCTTTGACGGTTTGTTTCTAATTTTACATTTCAACTCAGACGTTCATTGACTAGAATGATTCCTTAACTTTAGTTTTCATTCAAAATGTTTCTTCCAACCCTTGATTAGCCTGGTTAGCTGAGCTAGCTTCACCATAAAGCATGAGTTTCTGGATGTAGATTATTGAAAATCCTGTCAATATTTCCAACTCAATGACAAACACAAAAAGTTTGCGGTAACATATTCATCCTTCCTGTTATCTGCTGAAGGAATCGTTCTCTCTCGCAGCCTGAATTGACAGCAGATGTGTGTCGACTTGTTTTTGAAACGTGCATTTTGCTTTTCAGTAGCTAAGTTAGCAACCTGGACTCACTGTCCCTATTAGAGACCTTTATTCACGGACTTTATTAACCGGCCTTTCTTGAATCTTCCTGATTTATCGCTTAGATTTTTCACAAAAATCTATTTTTTTTCCACTCCCTTTCCTCTTGTAAATATAAAAGCACAACGACTTGGTTTTAAAATTCACCGACTGCTCATTTTGTCCCGTCTGGAAGATCAAAGGTCAATAATTCACCGGCGCTCCTCTCGCGGCTGCCTCCGCCTCCCCTCTCTCTCCTCTGCGATTCTACTTCCTGTTGTGCTTTGCTCGTGCGTAGCCGCTCAGAGCTGACAGCAGCTTTAGCTTTTAGCATCTCTATGTAACCTGGATGGCCTTTTATTGCCCACCTTTCCCTTTTTCCACATTACCCAGCAGCTGTGACTCATCCGGTTTTGGCCCAGATTTTGGTGAAAACTTGAGCAGTTTATGTCCAGATTTATTTTTAACGCCGCATTTCTTTCGGTTGATTAATTCCTTCACGATGGAAAAACGTTATTTTAAGGACCGAGCGCCGGTCAGAAAGGCCGTAACAATTCCTGTGAATCCCACATCCTGCAGGAAGAGATGGCTGGACTTCTGCTGCTCTCAGGCTGAAACAAATAAACAAAACTTCGCTGCTGCTCCACTGAGACTTTAGTGCTGATCTGTCTGCCATTTGTTTCGTCTTGTTTCATTTGAGCCACAGAAACTTGTCAGCTGACATGAAAACCCGGTGTTTTTGAGGGGGGCGATGGGACTCGACTGAGAGAAGTCGCTCTCAGGTAATCGTTTTCAAATGAAAAAACTAAATTGTTCATTTAGTTCGATCAGGAATTCATAGTGGGCCTTATTTTATTAGCCATTTGGCCCAAATGTGGATGGGAAGAGGGAATAGTGGGCAGTACAGGCATCAGATTTATGAATTTATTGATAAATGATCACTGTAATCCATGACAGGAAATCCTTGCAATGATTAATGAACTTCTGCCCTGAAGGTTTGGGGGGTCGACTTGAAATTGTGGGTTGCCAGGTGTAAAATGGAAGAATCTGGGGACAAAATGTCAAAGAATAACTACAAAATGGCCGACATGCGTGTTTTTATTTCTCTTGAGGTTGATGCTTTTTTGTATGTTTGTTTTTTTTTTGTAGTTTTGATTATGAGAATAAAGTGTTTGTTCCTCGCTGAGTGTTCATGCTACAAAAGTAAAAATCTTGTTTTGTTTTGATATTTTCTGTTGTTTTGTTTATTTGACTGCACTGTTCCTTTAAGTTGTGTTAATTATTCACACCAATTGAATGCAGCATCAAAACTCAGCCATCAGCACCAAACTCCGTCTTTCCTTCTGGTCGGAGCTCATTGTTCACAACATTATGGACACAATCATCAGAATCCCAGCCAGCTGAGTTCAGAGGACGCTCACCGCGTTGCTTTTAAATCGCCACGTCTCGGTTGCATCCAGAACAAACAGGCTTCCTTTAAATTACCAGGGTGTGTTGCTTTATTTTTGTTTGTTTGTTTTGTTTTCCGGGTTTTTAGATCTCAGTGGGACCTCACTCACCTGAACGGAGTTCATTTGTAGCACTGTGAAAAAAACACAATGTTGGAAACTGGTCCTGTGTGTTTCCCGGGACGATGGAGCTGAAGGGCCTGCAGGCCTCCGCACTCTGCCTCTGCAGCTAAAGTTGTGCATCAGATCACTTTATAAGTTATTTCATTTTGTATTTGTTGGCACATTTTTGTGTGTTGTTGCCATTCCTTTAACGTGTGTTTGCTTGGCAGTCTGTCCGACTGGAAGTTGCGTTTGATTTCAGTTTGCAGCTGAAGACGTTTCAGGCGCGTTGTTACAAAAGACATGATGCAGTATTTAAGGAAAGTAGACGGACTGAACCTCTGAACTGTTTTGTTTTTTTGGGTTTTTTTTTAGGTGGTTTTTGTTTTTGTTTTGTTTTTGCAGCCAATCTCTTATGCAAGCACAAGGAGTTGTTTTTCGGTCAAAGCAGCTCGTCCTCATGTCCGGTTCTGTATGAATTGACCCAATAAAAACAAACTTATTAACAGTAACAGATTTTTCGGTTTTTTATTCCTAATTTGTGACTTCAGCTTCTGGGATCCCAATACGTTGTTGGTTTATTTTCAGTAATAATAATAATAATAAGGGAGCTAACGGCAGTGCTATTTAGATAATCTGACTATTTAAGCAAGTTTGCATCAAAGATTTTAGATTTGCGAATAACGAGGTCAGAGTGTTTTCCCACTGAAGTTCAACAACTTTCAAGACCAAACTAATTTTTGTAAGAGTGACCTGAAGAAATGCTATTCGGGTCGACGCACACAGTTTGCAGTCAGAAAACATGTGATGGTGATACCGCGTACGGCCACTAGGGGCTGGCGTTCAACAGTCTGTCCTGCCATTTATTACAATGAAATCAGGACACGTTGAAGTCGCAGTGAATTGATGCCGTGCAACAACTAAGAACCAAGATTCAATGACGGTTAAAAATTCTCTATTTGTTGATTAAACTCAGAAATAATAGTTTAAAATAAAGAAAAACTCAGCTCTGCCTCTATTCCAACTCAGCCTTGTTTCTTGTTTGATGCAAACTTTGTTTCTTTGTTTTATTCCTTTTTTTTTTTAATCGAAGTGTGTAGAAACTATTAATTGTTAACCCAGAACACACACTCTGAAATCACTCTGACTCGTCTTTGTTGTTGATTTTGATAGTATTGGGTGCGTATTAGACAGCAAGAGACCGTTTTACCTAAGAAACAAAAACGATTTGTCAGAAGCAGGAGAAAATGGGCATTAATAAGGACTGGAGCCAGATGGTGATGCTGCAGCGGCCTCCAGCTTTGGTAAAACCAAAGCTGGAGGTTTTTAGGGGCGTTTTAGTGGTCAGTATCTGACCTGAGGGAGGATACTGACCAAGACTCACTCCCAGTTCTGATAGAGAGAAAACGCTTCACTACTGGTTGCACTTGGAGCTGAGAAATATTAAGGATGTCCACTGGTTGTGTTTGTGTCATTTACCTGAGGAACACGAGGTGCCGCGATGGGGAGAGGGCAAATCAGGTGGAAACTGTGTGATTGTGAGACGCTGCGGTGGGGGAAAGCCTTCCGATGACTGTGGCTCCTCACAGCAGAATAAGACGCCCTGCCACCAGAGCAACTATAAGTTCAAGTTGGTGAATTTCCCTCCAAATTTCCCTGATCTTAATCCAATCAACCATCTGAGGAATGTGTTGGATCAACATGTCCAATCTGTTGAGGCCCCGTATCGGTGCTTCCAGGACTTCAAGGATCTGCTGCTAGCGTGTTGCCGCGAGCCGCCAGATCCCGACCAACACACCCCAAAGGAGTCCGTGCCTTTTGGCAGCAAAAGAGGCACCGACACACTGTCAGGCATGTGATGATGCATGAGGCTGTGCACTTTCGTAGATTTAGAAACGTAAACGCCATCAGTTCTTTACATGGAAAATGTCCAACATGTGTATATTCAAAGACAGGATGCGATTTAAATGACCTCTGACTGTGAAGCCCAGACTCCAAGGTCACTGTTCTTATGAGCTCATCTGGCTCAACTGAGGGTGGAAACATACATCTATATATATGTGTGTGTGTGTTTTCCCAAGGGAATCTGGACATTTTCTGAGAGCGCGGCGGGCTGGGGAGGCCGAACCGTTCGCCTTTTATGTACGTCGAGCAGCAGCCCCAAATTGAAGCTGAGTGTCGACCGCGCTTAATTGTCATCGCCAATTAGTGCATTGTTGGACGGCCACAATGGATCAACTGTAGCGAGCAGAGCAAAGTCCTTTGTGCTTCTCCAGTGGCCTGCGAGCCAGTCAAGACTCATTTGAGGGGCCCGGTCGACGGCGGAGCAGAAATGCCACCCTAAATGAAAACAAAAGACAGTTTAAGGAGGGAAAAGGGGGATGAAGGGAGGAAAACGAAAGCTTTTGGGGGCGGGGTTGGATGGATGTGGACAGTGGTTACAGATGAGGGCAGAATGGGGCCAACACACACACAATTTACCCCCCCCTCATCACATTTTAGTGAGCTTCTGCACAAAAGCTGGCCGGGCCCCAGTGACCTGGTTATTCAGGAGCTTCATCGGCCACATTGAAGCTTTCAGCAGGTTGCGGCAGAGCAGACTAGTTTCAAACCTTTGCTACAATTCACCCACTTTCACTTTGAAAAACCAAATCTTTGCTATGAAGGGCGTCTCGGGCCGCCACCAAAGACTTGCTTGCTTCACTCAAACAAGTCCCAGGTCTCGGCGTGTCGCCGACATGCGGTGTGGGAGGAGGAGACGGAACCAGCTCGGCCTTTTGGAGCTCAGCTCTGATGTTCAGGTTGCCCGTACAGAAACAGCCTGAAGGTGCGTTCAGGTCGCACACGGCGCGAACTGAAATCCACAACACGGGGCTTGTGTTTGTCTTCAGCTGAGTTTTTGTCTGAAATAAAGTCTGTGACTTTGTTGACTACAGCTGCTGCATGCTTTGGGGCTAATCACACGTAATGCAGACTCTTTTTTTCTTCTTCTTCTGACTCGCTGTTCACTGCACAAACGTAAAATGTTATCAAGTATTTTTGGTCCAGTCTCCAGTACAAATACCTTAGTATATTTCAAATAAGACTAATCTGACTTAAAAGTAACTTTTTAGCAGGACTTAAGAGGCTTGTGTTCAGTGCATAATTTCTTAATATTGATGAAAAGTGACTTCCCCATGTGAACTTATTACATGGAAATATGTCTTGGTACGAGTGAAATAATCTCCCAATAGAACACACATTTTTTTCATCAATATTAAGGAATGATTTATTTAAAACAAGCACCGATTTCTTGCTGAAAAGCTACTTTTAAGTTGGTTGATCTTGTGTCAAGCGTGCTAAAGACATTTGCACGAGAACCTGGACCAGATTTACTCTGTAAGGTTTTGTGTTTTTGCAGTTCTCTCGGATAAAATACGATCGGTGGTGATTTAGATCTGACCTTAACGTGTTTTAATCTTCCATGTAGCTCTGGCTGCATGTTTAGGGTCCTTGCACTCTCCAGTCTCTCTTCCTGCAGCGTTCCTGTCTCCGTCGAAGAAACGCGTCCACAGGCCTGCGAAGTGTCGGCCTCATCTGGCCACGTAAGCCTTGAGTGTGACTTTTCATGGGTTTATTTCAGCAAACGTGTAATTCTTGACCAGATCTGTGAAGAGACTGTTGTCATGCATAGCAGATTCCATTTTCAGATGACGAATTAAAGAGCTCCAGTCGTTCAAGGTTTAGAATATCGTCTTAAATATGTTTGCATGAAACTTCTCCACTGACCTTGCCTGTCTCACATTGACCCATTTAACGACGACCAAGAAATTAATTTCCCTTTCAAGGACTCCAAAAAGCTTACTGATTAACTTCTCAGTTAATGTTCAGCAAATACTGAAAGTTTAGAGTGTTTAGATAACACTGACGCAGTATCACATTTAGAGTAAATTATCAGCGTCACCTGGACGACCTGAGCCTGACGCTCTTTTATGATGTCATCACATTTGTAGTATTTAGCCATGCGTAACATTAACGCCTCAGCATAGACGGGATAATCCGTGTCTAGTTTTGATCAGTTCACCAGCCGCGTGCCACTCTGTTACCACCTACTGTGCTGTTGTGTTTTAGGCAACGAAATGTTTGTATCCGATGAGATCTTACATAAAAAAAAAATCTGCAGAACATGCCAGTTTTTTTATTATCCGATTGATCGATTAACCGTCAGAATAATCGATCGATTAATTGATAACTGCTGTGTGTGTGTGTGCGTGCGTGCGTGCGTGTGTGTGTGTGTGTGTGTGATTTCCTTCAGAGCTTAAACACAAAACTCTCCACTGTTTACGTCCGTCGGTCAGACTGACCTGAGCAAAGGTAGCTCAACTCTGGCCTCCTCCTGGCTGATACGCTGAGCACACACACCCTCACTGCTCAAACACACACACACAAACACACCTTCGGAGACCTTTGTCCCCAGAGAGCGCTGCGACCTTTGTCTCATGCGGCGGCGTGAGAGGCAGAGAGCAGAGGTTGGGTTACTGAGCGCCACAGATTTGGTTTTCTTTCGGTTTGCCTTGTGGAGAATCACAGATAAATCCTGTAATCTGTGTTTGAATGCAGAGGATTGTATGAGAACAGGCCCATTTGTTTCCTGTTGGTTTATTTAGACCAAACGGAGATGAAATAGGTCAATATTTCAAACGTGCTTCTTTTAAAAACTGAAAGATTTTTGTCTTTCCCCTGATTTTTTCACATTTTTTTCTGTAATTGTCCATTACCTCTATAATGAAGCTGGATCCCTGATAGCAAATGCTTCATTTTTTCCCACCTTTCTTTTCATATAAAACATGATTGACTGGGAAATAATCTGAGTTTCATGTCTCATCTTAAACCAACGCAACGTTGTAACGTCTAATAAAAATACCAAAGCACTCTTAAAGGCCCAGTAAAGTCACAAATGACTGCTTCATCTATTTAAAAAAATTAATAAATAAAAACTGGTTTCACCTGAGTGGAGAGCTGTAGATATGAGTTATTATGTTTCGTAGAGTTTCAAAAGTATTTTGCTCTTTTAAACGGTGAAAAAAGGTGACGTGGTTATAAGACAATAACTGTGTATTAAACATATAATATAGACATAACAACAACCCTAAACACATCTTTGTATGGTCAATCTATAAAATCCCATTTTGCAAAAAAATAAAAGAAATATTTTGAATTATAGTCTCTGGATGTGCACAGTTGTTCACATAAAGGAATAATGGTTCATTCAAATTATTCTTTTGATTTCTTCCTAATTGGAAGCAACGCTGACATTTTGGAGTCCCGATTTGAACCTCAAGATTAGGGTGATGGTTAAGGAGACCTTCCAGATTCAAACATTTACCTCCGCAGACAAACTGAACAAAACATGAACTTGAAACGCTATCGTCCCTGTCTATGTGTAACTTTGGGGCCTAGTAAGAGTTTCTCGAACATGGCATGCAGGATCTGACTGCAAAGCGCCATGCTAACGCAGCTAGCACAGCAATGATTGACAGGGGTGAACTGGCCAGTAACATATTCCTCCAAAGTATGAGACTACAACCTATATGCTACAACTAAGAGCAATGTCCTGGGTTTCAGAAAAAAAAATACTTTGGCAAAGTCTGCATTAGAATACTTTTTTTAAAATAATAATAATGCCACTTTCTTCTGTCAGGAATGAAAATAAATAAAATATTTAGGACCACACTACAATATAACAGTCCTTTTCCGTCAGGTACCTAAAGGCTCCTCTGGGAACTCCCACCTCCTAAAGCAGGAAGTCCCAGAATATAAAAATTGCTCCTGGGGCGTTCACGGACCGCTGGGTTTTTAAAGTTGCCTCAGAGCAAGTGGTTGCGGACATCGTTCTTTTCTAACGATGCAAAAAGAGGAACGTTCAGGATTTTTGTGGGACGAAAAGTTGATAGCACAAAATAGAAACCGGGAATAAAAATAATTTTTGAACAGCTGGTCGTGTCATTACTAAGGTCTACAAGTTAATGTTTTTTTTAATGTCTGAAAAATCAATTTACTTGATTTTATTTATTTATTTTTTGCAAATAAATTAGACCTACCGCCCTTTATTCTTACAGAACTGATCAATACAGCTACACATCAACCTTTTTTTTAAAAATAAATATCTGGTTAGAATACTAAACAGAGCTGATTGATTTCAGTTTGAACAATTATGTCAAACAATCAGCCAGATTCACAGAGCGTCGCTGATACATTTGAATGCAACACGAGAGTGCAGTGCAAAGGTTAAAAACCGGACAGCGATCGATACTGACGCCACATAAAAACCAAGCGAGGGTCCAACAACAACTCGTGGACATTCAGCAGCGGGAGCGCGCTCCCGGCTCAACGTTGACATTTCCGACAGCCGTGAACGCAGCAGTGTTTGATGTGTTTGATGAGAAGGTGCAGCAGCTTCAGACGGACTTCACTCCGTCCTCGGGCGCAGGGAGCGCAACAATCCGCGCGTGGCCGCAAACCCAACGGCACGGGAGACGTTTTTGCCCCGAGGAACTCTTCTGCTTCTTCTCCTTGTTCTGCTTCTTCTCCTTGTTCTGCTGCTCATTTCTGCTCTGGCTGTTTTCACTCAGAAGAACCAGAAAGTTCACTTTTCAGAAGTTGCTCAAGTCGCGCGCGGATTAAACCCATCGAGGGAAACGCATCAAGTGGATTTTACTCACCTGGATCCTCGAGGCACAGAAAGAGGAGACTTCTGGATATTTATGCTGCTCACATTTAGCACCTGTTCAGTCCGTCCTACCGCCCTTTTCTGTGTTTCTTTTTCTTTTTTTAATTATTATTATTATAATTTTTGTTGTTTTCAAACCGCAGCTCTGATGATGCGGCTCTTTCCGGCACGCGGGACATGTTCGGTGGACGTGCAGCGGCCAGAAACGTCACAGGGTCGTTGAATTTATCGGAACGCGACTCCCGGATATGAACTTTCTCCTGATGGTCGCGAGGGCGCTGGTGAATGATTGACCGCGCGCTCAGATCCATTTTTACCCATCAACAGACTGATTTGCGTCCTCTCTCTCAGAGCGGAACTTTCTTCTGTTGACTCTTCTGAACTTTCGGGGTAAGATGAGCCCTTCTTCATTTCAGCTGGCGTGAAGACTCCGCGGTACCCGGATAACAGACTTTCTTCATCCATGGCATCAGCAGCGAGGCTCGTGCCGCACAGCCTGATGCTGTACCTGCTTCCCGTCCTCTGGTCTCTCGGTTTCACGTCCGGAGCCTCCAAGGTCTTGGTTTGTGAGCCCATCACGGTGCCCATGTGTAAGGGCATCGGCTACAACTTGACATACATGCCCAACCAGTTCAATCACGACACCCAGGAGGAGGTGGGGCTGGAGGTGCACCAGTTCTGGCCCCTGGTCCGCATCCGCTGCTCCCCGGACCTGCTGTTCTTCCTCTGCAGCATGTACACCCCGATCTGTTTGCCGGACTACCGGAAGCCGCTGCCCCCCTGCCGCTCCGTGTGCGAGCGGGCCAAACGAGGCTGCTCCCCCCTCATGAGCCAATATGGCTTCGAGTGGCCCGAGAGGATGAGCTGCGAGCAGCTGCCCCAGCTCGGCGACGAGACCCTGTGCATGGACCAGAACAGCAGCGAGACCACCACTCTGGCCCCTTCGGTCCCGAAGTCCACCCCCAAGGTCAGAACCAGACCCCCCAGCCCGTCGCAGTGTGACAGGGAGTGCCGTTGCAGGGACCCCCTGGTCCCCATCAAGCGGGAGTCCCACGCTCTCTACGGCAGAGTCCAGACGGGCCCTTTGCCCAACTGCGCCCAGCCCTGCCACCTGCCCTACTTCTCGGCGGACGAGCGCGCCTTCACCAGCTTCTGGGTGGGCCTCTGGTCCGTGCTGTGCTTCGTGTCCACGCTGACCACCGTGGCCACGTTCCTCATTGACATGGAGCGGTTCAAGTACCCAGAGAGGCCCATCATCTTCCTGGCTGCCTGCTACCTCTTCGTCTCCCTGGGCTACATCATACGTCTGGTTGCGGGTCATGAGCGAGTGGCTTGCGGCTACGGCGGCCTCGGCGGCAGCCAGCTGCACATCCTGTACGACGCTTCCGGCCCCGCTCTTTGCACCCTGGTCTTCCTGCTGGTCTACTTCTTCGGGATGGCCAGCTCCATCTGGTGGGTGGTGTTGTCCTTCACGTGGTTCCTGGCGGCGGGGATGAAGTGGGGCAGCGAGGCCATCGCTGGGTACTCGCAGTACTTCCACCTGGCCGCCTGGCTCATCCCGAGCGTCAAGTCCATCGTGGTCCTCGCGCTCAGTGCCGTGGACGGGGATCCCGTGGCTGGAATCTGCTACGTGGGGAACCAGAGCCTGGAGAACCTGCGGGGGTTCGTGCTGGCCCCTCTGGTGGTCTACCTCTTCACGGGCTCGCTGTTCTTGCTGGCCGGGTTTGTCTCGTTGTTCCGCATCAGGAGCATCATCAAGCAAGGCGGCACCAAGACGGACAAACTGGAGCGGCTGATGATCCGGATCGGGCTTTTCACAGTGCTGTACACGGTCCCCGCCACCATCGTGGTGGCGTGCCTGGTTTACGAGCAGCACTACCGGCCCGGCTGGGAGCGGACCCTGGCCTGCTCCTGCCTGTCGGAGCGCCAGCGCTCGGCCTCGGGCCCGGACTACGCCATCTTCATGCTCAAGTACTTCATGTGCTTGGTGGTGGGCATCACGTCCGGAGTTTGGATCTGGTCGGGGAAAACCCTGGAGTCCTGGAGGAGGTTCGTGGCCAGATGCTGCCCCTGCTGGCCGCAGAAGGTCACTGCGCCGCCTTCCATGTACAGCGAAGCGAGCACGGCCTTGACGGGGCCCACGAGACTGGGCTGTCATCCGGGATCTACCAGAAAGGCCCTCCGTCCCACATATGAACCGTGTGAACATTTTAGAGAACCTAACTGCGGACGAGAGACCAGAACTATAAGTTTGTGTCATTTTACCCTAAAAATAAACTATAAAATACTAAATGCTGAACGAAAAGATTCAGAGTAAAAAGCGTAAAAAAATGTTTAAAAAATATATATAGGCTATATATAAGCATACAGTATGGGGATATAATAATTAAAAGCAAAACACAATTGAGACTCTAAAATCTGACAAAATCTCTATAAGGGATTTTATTTTATTTCATTTTTTTTTTTTTTTTTTGCACTGCAGCTGAGACACTTGACCAAATCTGACTCTCACTTAAAAACAAGCAATCCTCTCCCTGAGGATATCGGATAATCCTGAGCACTGGAAAGATTAAAAATATATATTTATTGTTGTACATACTGCAAATATTTGTTGTAAAGAAAAAAAATGTTTCTGTTTAAAAAAAAAATGCAAAAAAAACATACTGCCAAGCTATGTATAAGAGACCACAGAAAGAAATAATTGTCCATAAATGTGATGTTTGAGTGGTGTTGCTCCGTGTGAATCCAAACTGAATTTGCTCTTGGAAATTCATGACTGTGACTAGAAACTTCCTTTGTTTCGCCTGTATAGTGCGCTCTAACATGACCTCTTTAGTTCTGTGAACTCATTAAAGTGTCTTTGTGAAAGGAGAGCCGGTTCTGTCTGTGCTGTGTGAAGAAACGCACAATAATGAAGGCGACGAGATAAAAAAAAACACTAAAAAATGAAGTGAGTCTTTAGCACCCCCTGCTGGTTCACAGTGGAGCTGCTCGCTTTTTGTGTTTTCTCTCACTGGACCTGAAACCGCCGCAACCTGCGGCTCCCACCGTCACTGGACGAGCCTGCAGCGATCCAGCAAGACGTGTTAAAGTCTCAGACACAAGTGAGCAATTTACAAAAGTGTCCCTACACGCCGTAGATGTGGTTTTTTACATTGCACTTTTAATTCAACCAAGTATTTTGCTTCTGACTATGAAATAATGTAAAAAAAAAAAACGGTTCATTCAATTAAAAAAATAAAAGATATATATATATATATTCACACTTTTAAACAATTAAAAAATCTGCATAAAAAACGTTCCTTTAATTGTTAACATCAGGGATGTGAATAATTTAGGGTTTAACTGAATATTTCATTTTTTCTTTTTTTCTTCTTCTGCAAATCAACAACCTCTCCAACACGATTTATTTTTAATATGATAGCGAGCATAGAAAAGTGACAACCTCAATCCCCCAACACTGGCAAGATCTTTAGAGTAGCGGATCGATGGTTAACATTCATTTTTGTTCTGGATTTGCTCAAATTCAAGCACTGCAAGCCATTCAATATGTTTAACAGAAATCTCACCGATTTAAGAAAAGCTGGTTTGACAATGTATGAAATACTTTGGACACCATTAACAGAGCTGCTGCTGTAATATCACTGATGCATTTCAGAGTTTTAAATTGTTCCTCTTGTCACTCAAGGAAAACAAAAAAACATTAAGTGTGAATGAAAATATCTTTTTGTCGGCCGTTTTGACGTCTTTCTGACTGGTTTGTTCCGTTTCACAGCCTGCTGAGTGCTGCGTGATGCCGCTGCTCTGTCTGTCTGCTGTGTGAACGAATGCGATGTGAATGCAGGGCTGCAGGTGTTTGGGTTCGGTTAGCTTTAAATATCAGATATTTTCAAAGGAAATGATAAACTTAACTCTAGATCTGATGTTCGTGTTGTGGAAGTGAAAACAGCTGGCTTTGAGTTTTGCCACATTGTGTGATTTTTCTAGAGATTATTACATTTATAAGAGCAAAGAACACAGACCGGCTCTGCTGCTGTTGTGACTGGGACTAGATGTTTTATACCAGTTATTCATCCAGTATAACTGTACAGGGCTTTGTTGGTATTTTGACATCTTACAGTGAAAATAACCAGCACAGCATGTATTTGTCACATGATTAGTGTTTATTTAAAATACTCCATTTGCAAATTCTTCTTTCCATTAAAAAGAATAATTTCACAGCTAGTAGCCTACATAGTAAGCAAAAAGGAGAGGGTTGTCCGTCAGTCTTTTGTTCCCTCTGTATCTATGTCTCGGTTTTGAACAAAGGGTTGGGTGATTTCAGTGAGATCTGAGGGGCTTTAAAACAAAAGCAGGATTGGGGGTGAAAAAGGGGAGAAAGGGGAGACCCCCCCCCCCCGTCCAGTCAGTAGCAATACTGATCTATAATCAGTAGCATTTGATCATCCAAAAAGGTACACATGTACAGATGGCATTACAACAAATCCCACAATTGGCACTCCTGATTTCTGACGCACAACGGCTGACTGAAGCTTTGATCACTCCAACCATCTGGAGTGGAGTGTTGCCAGGAAGATCCTGTCATAAGACATGCTCAGTTCAGATTACCTACAACTTTCGAAACTTCAGCTCAAATGTACTCCGCAATAGTCTTGAGTTATCCCTAACAGCTCTGAATTTTATATTTATCTTTGAGAATGATTTTGAAGTGGTCTTGATCACAGTCCATTGGTCTCTCTGAAAGCCCAACAGTATTTTGGAGGTTTTGCTTTAGTCCAGACTATTTTCCCAGCAATGTCAATTACTTTTTTTAGCCACATAACACTGAACGCGGCACGGGCAGGAATCAGACTCTCCTACCCTAATATGATAAACTTTCAAAGTGTTGCAGTATAAGACGGCTTTAACAGTAGTGCACAACATGATGCAATTATGCTGAATAGAAACACAACAGATATTCCCATATTGATCAAATAATCAAGCTGCATAATATCTGGAGCAAATTAAAATGTGAGTTAACAATGATTAACTCACATTTTCCCAACAGCCTCTAGCAGTCTCTGGGAGCATTAGCATCGCAGAGGCTGAAGAGCTACATCATGTGTATTATATGTAATCTGTAATCAGAGGATGAATGTCTTGGAATATAAAAGCAAACACTGATATTGTGATGTCAATGCTGCTATAATTTATGTTGTAGCCTGTTTTATTTTGATACATAGACACGTAATACATAACTAACTAACTAGCCACCTAGCAAGTAAGCTAGGTAACATGATAGCTAGACAGCTATCATCTTTCCAGCTAATCGGCTAGAACGATAGCGAGTACGCTAGTTATGTTGTCTTTCCAACATGATAACTAGCAAGCTCGCTATCATGTTATCTTTCTGGCTAGTTGGCTAGTTTACCTTGAGTTAGCTACCAAGCTATCTATTTAGTACTTTAAGTTAGCTAGTTAAGGCCGCCAGCTATCTAGCTAACATTCTCGCTCGCTGGATGGATTTCTAACCTCTTCAGTTCCCTGAAAGTGGTCAAATAAATTTAAAGGATCTTTTGAAAGGTTAATGATTACCCTTCTAAACAGATGTTTTCAGATGTGACTTGTGAACAAGAGATGTATCTAGGAATGACCAGACAGTTTCAGTAGTTTGGAAGTAAAACCTAGATACACCTTGATGCTCGTGACTCATTCAGCTGAGTAGTAAACTATTCGGGCAACTTATCAAATTGGCTCAAGCTCTTTCTGTCTTAAGGTCATCAGTGTTACGTGGCTCAAGAAATGAAATCCTGCTACTCTTCTGAATCTGTCAGGGCCTTTAGAAAGCCAAGAGAAGTTTTGATCACGACCACCAAAAGATAAAAATACATAAAATATTAATTATGGACAGCTCAACGCTTTTTTTTTTTTCCAGTACTGTATAAAACAAAATACATCTTTTGCTATCCCAATTAAAATGATAAAATGAGCATTTTCAGAAAAAGTTTAAACTAACATCAAATTGTTCCAAAAAAACATTCACATCTGATATTTCTCAGTGCTGTGCAGCTATTCTCAATACCCATACCTGAGGATCAATGGGGCAATAAATAGTTTGTGAATATATTTGGATACAATTAAGATATGAAATTTATCTTCCAAGTGGTGCCAAACAGGTAAACTCTGTTTGTAAAAACGTAGCAACAAACCAAAAAGAAAATATTTCCAACACTAATTTAATATGATTTTGAAGAAAGTAGGCTGTAAAATCAAATAAAAGATAAAGAGATGGGGTTTTCCTGTTCACCAAGGGAATATTGTCTCTGGTTGTGATATCCGGGTTTGTTGTAGAGACTTTGCTGCTGCAGATATACGTTTTCTGAAGGCTGAATAATCTCACCGGTTGACCTAAGCAAGTACAAATACCTTCTACAGGTTTGTTCACAGAAACCAAAATATTAAAAATCAACCAAAACCTCGCCTGTCGAGCCAGAACAGACTGAACTTTTTTTTTATCCTACTTATGCTTTTTTTGTGACAAATTAAAAATCTAGCGCTCCTTCTTTTTTTTTTTTTTTTTTGCTTTTAAACACCGTTTCTGGGGAAGAGAGTTTTGTTGAGAAATAAATAATAGATCTGTGAAAAGGACGGCTCACGGTTTACTCTGGAGCTCTAATTTCAGCTTCATTGGAGACCACCATGCTGAGGCGTTTGCGGGCAGAACCCCGTCTGATGCGGCTGCGAAGACTCTGTGGGTTTGTCCGGTGTCGGCTGTGGGTCGGCTGCAGGTGGGCGGGGCTACGAGAGTACGGCGTTCGAGTGCCGCACACCTATCAGGTTGTCTACGCTGATGGAGCGTCTCATCGCTGCTTTACTCAGATCCTTGTACTTGTCTTCACACAATCTTGAAATGGCCTGAGCAAAAAAAAAAAGTTGCACAAATAGGAGTTAAAGGTCACCTGTAGATTCCTGTTACAGATGTACACAAAGAGCCGTGGAGTCGACATGCTTGAATAACACAGCGTTTTATGAATTGTGCGATGCTGTCGTCTTCTTTGTGGTTTTTGTCAGTAGTAACATCCAGGTGTAGATTATGTGACCCGCATGATACAAAAAAAAAGTCTGTGGTTCACATTGTTCTGCGAAATACATCTGTTATCATATGGCCTCGAAACCACCTCATGCCAGCCCACAGACTTTATCAAAAAATGTGAAGTTTTTTTTTCTTTTTCTTTTTAAATTGGCCAAAATTTAAAAAGAAAAAATTATTTACGTAATATAATTTTGTGCAGTTCTATGGTTAATAGAAAAGCAGCTACTGTCACAAATCTCAAGCAGAAAGATCCCCTTTAGAAAATCAGCACCTATATACAAAAAAAAGGAATAGGATACATTTTTAAAACGTTAAAAATTCTACAAATTATTAAAATTGTTGCAGATGCAAATGTTTTCTCGATGGATTTTTCAGCAGGAAGTGTGACAGCCTTGGTGAAGAGCAAGATTCTCTCTTATATTAAAACATCTCATGTCTTGTTTTTTAGCACTCTCTACAGATACATCAGTGACAAGACATTAATGACAACAGAATGCGCTTTTTAAAAGGTGTTCAGAGGTCGGCCCACCTCTAGTTTCTGAGCGCGCTGGTTGTTGAGGGGCTCCAGCGGGAAGTTGAGGTTGTTGTCGTCGGCCAGCTGCCGCAGGTCAAAGTAATACTTGGCGTAAACACTGGCTGGCACGTTGATATTAAACTGGAGAAGTTCCAAGAACTGGCGCTCCATTTCGTTCCTGGAGGGGAAGGAGACGCCCGAGGGTCAACCAGAGGGTGAGTGGTTTGATTATTTGCAGGAAAACACAAGAACTGCTTTGGCGGAGTGAGTCAAGTTAGACATTTCATATTTGTTGTCATTCACTTCCAGACAGACAACCGCCTTCGTGGTTTCTCATCATCACAGTCACGAGTAAACCTAAGGGAGGTGGTCTCCAAGGAGACAACATCCAGGAGGCTTTGTTGGTCAGCAAAAGGTGGCGAGAGTACATACAAGTGTGTGTGTGTGTGTGTGTGTGATGTCTGGTTTCCCAGGGCAACTAATGGAGCGGACGAGAGCTGGGGCCATTATGTAGAAGCAGTGAGAGCACTTGAGACCCTCCCTTCCATTTTTCTCTGTTTCCCTCTCTCCTGTTCTTCCCATCCCTCGGCCCAAACTCCGACCAGCTCACAAAGACACTTCAGTGGCAGCAATGAAAACAGAGCAGAGAGCGTGTGGGTCAGACGGACGCGAGAGGAGACAGAGGAGGATGGGGAGGGGAAAGGGGAGCACACGCGGGTAGCAAACACACACATGCAGGCGGAGAGAGCGCTTCTGACCAAATCATAAAAAACAAGCCAGCACTCTCAACCTCTTTCACACACAGACACGGGAAAAGCAATCGCAGGAAATAAAGCCGTGGCTCTCCGAGTGCAGCCCCCCTGGCCTCTTCAGCGGCTCGCAGCCTGACAGCAGAGATGCTGCAGCAGCTTCCATTTATTCCAGCGCTCTTTTTTTTTTTCCTGCCAGCTTTAAGTGCATCTTATTAGATTGCTTTTATTAGAGGGGCAAGCATGTATGTGGCTTTCTGTGTACAACTTACGTGGCACAGAGAAAGCAGCAAACACAAGAGGAACTGCGGTGATGAGGAATAACCTGAACGGAAACCTGATGCCTATTTAACTGAATGTTCTGGGTCAAAAACTGAATCAGTTTGTGTATTTGTCAGATGGTTGTCCTATTTTCAGCTGCAGGGGATTTTTATGAGAACGTTTATGAGGATGACTCACTTCTACCTTTTTCTTGAACAGGACTCATTTTGTCTACGTGTCCGACAAAAACTTCAGTGATATGAACTTGATGTCTTACACTTTCAGTTAAAGATGCTAACGTTTGCTATGAATCTATCGCCAAAATGTCTGCAGTGTGAAGGCAGTGAGGAAACTGAAGAAAATATAGAAACGAAGGAAGGAGGGAAGAATAAGTTCTATGATAGTTCCAGTTTTATAAGGAGAGACAGAATGACAACAAAACCAAAGAAAAATTTCCAGAGAAACATTTCGGTAAGAATCACTTATCCACCTTTCAGTCATTAACATTGTGCTGAAACTGTACATTTGTCGTGATTTCCCTGTTTAAAATAAATAAATGGATCACACATTGGTAAGAAACTGGTTAAACTGTAGTAAAGGTCCTGATGTTGAGAGTCAAGTCCTTTGCGGCCACAAAGAGAACAAAAGGCTCCTGATATGAAACTGATCCGACACTCTTTAGTGAAGCTAAGAGGTACAAAGACAATTGTATGAAAACTTTATAGAATTTATCATACTTAAAAAAACAAAACAAAAAAGACTATCTTGTCTCAGTTTGCTGTTCCACCTCAAGAAAACTGATATATACATATTTCATTTTCCTCTCATACTCTAGAAACAAGAACACACATTAGATTCAATTTGATTTTGGGTTATTTAGGAACTCCTGTTCCAACAGGAAGACTTGCTTTCTTTCCTTAAATTTCCCGTCCGTTCAGGCTAAAAATGTGGGATGAAACTGCACCCATTCCAGCAGGCGACTTACATGTCCTCCACGGTGATGTCTTTGAGGATCTGGCAGTAGTCGACGTTCCACACTGCCTGGTCGTCCCAGACTTTGGAGGCCAACAGGATGGCTCCCAGGACAATCCGCTTCCAGTTGGCTGGACAAATGTCCAGCTCTGCGTACGTCAGCAAACGTTCTAAGTAGACCTGGACGGAAAAACAACATCAATAAGCATTATTTGAAAAAATTCACAATAGTTTTAATATACACTGAACACAATCAATACTTTATTTAGCAAAAATTATTACTTAAAAAAAAACAAAAAAAAAACAACATATATTTAGTTCCTGCTATTACAATCAAGGGTCCATCCTGCACTTTACAATGTGGAGAGCCGTATTTCTTGTCGCTGGACTTTACTGCCCTCTGGTGACTAAATAAGGAGCTACAGCCGAAAACTAATGTGCCCAAAAGTAAAGAAATACAAATTTGCCACTGTGCACGCTGGCGACTTACGAGTGTGACGATGGCACATTCAGCGGTGAGCTGTGCAGCGCTGAAGAGCGTCCTGACGAAGCGATAGATGAGTTTGTGTTCTGGGTCGACGTACGCGTAGTCGTCTGGGACCGGCTCTTTCTGTGTGGGACGGAAAGGTTCGCACATGACTGAAGGGAGGAAGCAGGATGTGAACATGGTTCTGGTCTGGAGAGTGGTTGGTAGTGAAAACAGCTGGAGGTCGGCGGGCTGCGTATTTCTGTTTGAAGCTTGAAGCAGCGTTTAAAACCACAACTACGACACTGGTTAGAAATAAGCCACAAAAACCCAGTTCCTTCATCAGTGAGGTACATGTTACAACTTAAATGGTGAGAACCATTTAAATGATAAATCTGTATTTGCTCAATTTTTAACAAATACAAATTTAAGGTTATGCTTTGTTATTTGCCATTATATTAACTTTAAGCAGAACCTTTAAAGTAGACATTAAACAGTTTTAGGCCGAACTTTATAACAGTGGTGAGTTTTTCCTTCTACCCAACTCAACCAGACAGAAAAAAAGAGTCTGGTTTCAATACGTCTCAGGTGTTTTATGGTCCGATTATTTTTTTGTTTTTTTCCCCCCTCAAGCAAAAAAAAAAAAACTACACCTTCCCAAAACAATAAAGTCCCCTTTCTTAAAAAGAGTCAAACCAAATGTCAGATGGTCTTCTTACAAATGATAAAGTTCCATCCATCCATCTACGGATGCCAGTAAGTTTTCTATTTTATTGAAGATCTGTAGACTGAAAAAAGACAACTTCCCAGCGTTTCAACTACTTCAGTTCACCTTGTAGATTTTCTGAGATTCGCACTCTCCTTTTTTTGCCAACCAGGACAGATCACTTGTGGATCCACTGCAAGTGATATTAACTTGCAGTGGATCTATAATGCTGAAACTCTTCTGGCCCGTCTTGATTTAAGGCGACGCCTCTCTCAGGTCAGGAAACACTGAGGAAATACACGTCTTCCTCCATGCCGTCTTCAATGAAACTGTGTGCTTTCAACCTGGAAACACTGATTTATTTGTTTGTTGGTTGTGCAACGTGGGAACAAGTCTGATTTTCAACTTTAAAAGAACAGAGTTTGTTAGTTCCACCACCAAAAAGTAAAAATACAGAGGAAAAATCTTTTTGTCTAATCAGGGCTTCCTACAGGTTTCAATGAAAACCAGTTTCAAACTCTTTTTCATTGTTTAGTTGAGAAGCAACCCTATGCAGAATTGCTTTTCAGGGTTTAAGCAATATGGCATTTGCATAAGAAAAGAAAATTCTTCTCACTGCATTTCACATCCATTTGAACTAAAAAGCCGGGCGTCTGGGTGGGAGCACTACAACACAAAGCTGAGTTTCGGATTGCAAAACCAAAGCATTTCATGGGGCGTTTCTAATCCCCAAACATTTAAAGCAAAACAAACGAGAGAACTGGCATTCGGATCCCGACTACAGGCCGCATCCTTTCGGATACGACAGACGAATGAAGAGTCAAAGGACTGAAAGTTAACGGTTGCTTACGAATATCCAGACACTTACTGATAAAGGGTGCAACTTCTCATCAAAGATGTCCAGTGACCTGTCAGAGTCCCTGAAAATCGAGCAGAACATCCGTCACTACGACACAACCAACTCACCTGTAAAATAATAATAAAGCTTCACACCGACCTGTTTTTGATGTGGTAGTATATTGCTAAAGTGACACTGTTGACAAAAGAATAAAGATACAATCTTTGTAAATTGCACTATTTATTGAGCTCAGAGTGACAAAATGTTTAAGTCAACAGGATTAAACTTGTAATCACTAAAACAATGTCACAACATCAACATTAGGTGAAATGAGGCAAGATGACATCTGTTTGAGTCAAACATCTGTCAGGATTACCACAGAGTGATGTAACACGATGTTCTCATGAGAAATAAGGGTTTTCCCAGCAGCGCATCAATGAGTACGAGTGTGTGTGTGTTTCTGTGTGAGAAGTCTCACCATTTAATTGTGCTTTTGAGGTTTGGCTGGCTCACGGTGCTGTCGTCTATGAAGATGGTAGAACAGGAGCTGTACTTCTTCAACGGCGGACCGGGAGAAACCTGGAGAAGAAATCCAAGTTGAAGCAAACACAAAATAACACGCCTTCAACTGATAAAGGGTGCAACTTCACTGAAACAATGTCACAATGTTATTCAGATCCCAGTGATGACTAAATAAAACAACATTGATTTATTCATTAAAGCTTAAAACGATGTCGTCTGGTTTACGGTCAAGCTTATTTGTCATCCAGACCCATTTCTCTTTACAAAACAAGTAGGTGGCACACAGTGCTGACTGAATAGACGTCATAGACTTCGTCTTTTAAAATATTCTTAAATCCACCCACAGTCTACAGTGTCATTCATTATGTTTATTACAAATTATGAAAAGGTTGTCTGATCAAATGGTTAATCAAATATAAACCGTAACTTAAGAGAGTCAGAATCATACATGATAAAAACTACATGCAGATGAAATTTCAGCACCTCGTCTAAGAAACGGGGCAGGAAAAAAAAAAAAAAAAAAAAACTTACTCGATTGATGTGGTTTATGTGGTTGCTTTTTCTCTTGTCGCGCACTGCGAAGATTAAAAAAAAGAAAGAAGTGAAACAGGAAACAGAACCCACAACCAAACAGTTAACCATATACGCATGCTTCATTTCAAAGAACTTAAATTTGATGCAGAAGAGCAGGGGGCAACTTTCAAATACACATTAAAAAAAAGGATCAGAAATAAGATCCCAGTGATGACTGTTTCAGTCATTCATGCTGACTATTCACATAAAGATGAATGATATATATATATATATATATTCATCAGTGATATACCAGAACCACTGACCGTCAGTTTGGGACTTGCTGAGGAAGATGGTGCTCGCTCGGGCGTGGTCCGATGGATTAAATTCCAAGGCCAGCTCTGTGAAAACATCAAGCGTGTCGGTGCTTAAAAGTGGGACTGGGAGTGTCTGTTTGCTTCTCGTTTGTGGACAGAGATGAGCCCGGCGCGCACAACTGAGGCCATGAATAAACAGACACTCTGCAAAACAATATCCTCTTGACTCAGCTATCTGCTTCTATGAATTGTGGCAAAATAACAACATAATAAATAAATAATCCCTCTACAAGCATGACATGACAGTCTTCTTTCTCCCAATCCCTGCAGCAGGCACGTTACATAAAAGAGAGGGGATTAGGATATGGGGGGTGTTTGTGAAGCGAGGACGGGGAGGAATGCATGAAGGACCGCTGGACGGATTTTGACCATCGTCTGACCAACAGCTGGTGTCTCCGGACCGTCCGCACAGTTAACACGAATGCCACGAATACTTTGCATGTCTGGAAATCAGGGCAAAGGGGGGGAGACAAGTCCTGATGCTACAAAAGTGAGCTCGGGCAGCAACTAGAGACAAATATTTGAGATGCCTTAACTGATCGGGGATCTGCAGGACAATAGGAGGGGGAAATAACCTTGGCTGGAACTTTTGAACATCGATTTTTGCAATTTCGACACTTCTAACAGCAGATATAGAGCAACAAACATACAAAACTTAAGATGTTTTATATATACATCTATATAAAAAGGCTTCTATCTATATGAAAGACTTATTTGCAATAGTTTGCGTAAAAAGGAATATAAAATGTTAAAGTGTTGAAGATGGAGGTTACATAATGATGAGTGTCACACATTATACAGTGTTTTACAAGACCTTAAACTTCCTATTTTGTCCCATTAAACTGCAAACGTTAATGTATTTGTGTTTTCTACACGTTGGACCTTAAAAGTAGTGCAATACTGCAGACCAAAAAAATAAATGAAAAAGTGTTAGCTAGTACAGTGAGTCAGACAAATCTAAAAATAGCTAAAGCTTTCAAATTTTGCCAAGGATTCTCAGGGGAATTTAGGTTTGAACTTTGACTAGGCCATCCTAAAAACACAAACCAGCTTTGATCTAAACTATTCCACTGCAGCTCTGCTTGTATACTTAGGACAGCTGTCCTGCTGGATGGTGGACGTCTGCCCCAGTCTCAAGTCTTTTGTTTTCTTCTAGGATTCTGTATGTAGGTCCATCCTCCTATCAACGCTCTCAAACTTTTCATTCACCGTAGAAAATAGTTAAAACTCCCAAAAGATGAATGCCGACACAGCAGTCTTTCGGTGTGGGCAAATGCGAACTCTGAATCTCCTTTGACCAGAGCACATTCTTCCACATGGCCTGCAGCAAACAGGATTTCTCATGGCTTCCTGTCCGGACTTGCCGGCACTCTTTCATTCAGGCCAGATCGAGGAAGTCCAGAGACCATCGCTCTAACCTAAGCTTCAGATCTCCGCAGCTCCTCCAAAGCTACCACAGGAAGTTCGACCGCTTCTCTGATTAACGTCTTCCTTGCCACACCTCTCGGTTTGTGTCAAACCCTCCTGGAAGTTTTAGATTCATGCCACACTTTTTCCATTTTTGAAATTTATTTTAAAGTGATGAACTGTACATTACTGTGTGATGTTCAAAGCTTGGGATATTGTTTTATATTGCTAACCTGTCCGATTTGTTCCTTGATTGTTGTTTTTTTATTATTTTTTATAATGCTATATCAAATTTCTTTCAATTCACAATCATGCACTACTCTTTGTTGGTGTATCATAAAAACACATTCATATAAAAGGTTATGGTTGTAGTTGTAATGTGACAAAATGTGAAAAACTGTAAAGTATATATATATATATATATATATATATATATATATATATATATATATATATATATGTTTTTTTCACAAACTATTGTATTTTCTTTGATAAAATCTAATAATTGGTTTTTAATGTCAATGTGCAACTCTATAACTTGACGCCAGTGGGATCAATATGATGCAGTGGGTAATCTAAACCCTGCCAAGAATGCTTTCATCTTGCCAGTGGATTGGCAAAAAAAAAAAAGCACTTAGAGCAACTTGGCCAGTAATTTCTTTCTGAATATTTTCACTGTTATGGTGAAACATCTTGGTTTTCGTACATGGGGTGAATATTTAAGTCTTAGTTGTTTAGTTGGGTAAGAAGAGAGAGAGAGAGAAAAAAATAAAACGCTGGGAAGTACAAATGATCACAAGATGTCACAGGTTTGTGAGTAATAACCGGGCAAGCACCTACCATCAGGGACCTCCCTGTCGCTGATGTGCTGCAGATAGGGCCCGGTGTTGTCGTCGCTCACTTCGGTGCTGGTGAACTCCTCCAGCCGCTCCGCGGGTTGCCTCGACGGGAGTTTGGGACTCGACTCGGGAGAGACGCAGCATGACACCGTGTTCCCCATTCCAAACTCTGGGCGTAAGCGTCACACTTTTAATCGCCGACAAGTCCGAGTGGTGCATATATGTATTAGTGGCTAGCTAAAGCTGACCTCGCCCTTCCTAATCGACATTAGGAGACGGAGCACCGACACAGCGCTATCTTCGCGTGCTAAACTGCCGCTGCCCGTCCACTCCCAAGCAAAGCATTCCTGTTCATATGTGGGAAACCGGTGAAAACAGTCGAGGAACGCTTGCCCATAAATGCTCTCCTGAGTAAAGAAAAATCAGTGCCACCTTGTAGAAAAACGTGACATTAACTTGTGGCGCTAATGGACTCAGTTTCTCCTTTTAAATCCAAGTAGTTACAAGCTGCTGCTTCATTCATTCGTCCAGTTCGTTGCTATGTAGCTAAGCAGTTAGCTTGTCTCCTTAACTTAAATTTACTCCGCATTAATTCCGCCTTTTGCCGTGACGCGAACACAACCAACTTTATAAAGCGAAACCGTAGTGCCTAAAAACAGCACGAATGGTCAAACACATTTTAGGAAACTTTACGAGCGATACTGCAGACGCCTCCTTTACGCCGGGCTCCTTCTTTCGCCAAATCTAGTCCGAGGCTTTTGAGGCCTCCAGCAGAAATCTGAACTCAAACCAAATTTAAAAAACAACTATAAAGAGAAAATAACATGTCAAAATCGGATGTCTTGGTTGTTCTCCAAATCCAACGTTAGAAACCAAAAGTCAGGAAGTAGGTCGGGACTCCGCCATCAGAACCTCTGCCCTGACAGATTTGAACCGCGGCTCAACGCTCCTGCCGTCGCCATCTGTTGCTGAAGCTCACAATGATACTACTTGGCACCGGGATGTGGTAGCCCCACCCACCTTGGAATTCTCCTCTCTCCTATTGGCTGTGATGAATCAAAACAATGACTTTTGGGAACTACCCATTGGCCAAACGACCTGTCACTGAAAGGTGGTTTAAATCACCGAACTGCATTTACGATGCTACTATTTTTACAGCGTCCCTGATCCGCACCCTTTATCGACGGTGAAACCGGAATCGCCTCTGTAATTTAAATCAATGGAAGTCTTCACATAGATACATTTCTTGCAATTAATGCATTTGATAATTTTAGCTCACGTCTTTCTGAGCCGATAAAAATAATAATAAAAAACTAATTATTAACACTTTTGAAAAGTAAATCCCTCTTACTTGTGCTGCTTATGTGAAAGTATTTCAAGTTGAAGCTGCAAGGAGCCTCGAGGTTTTCACAGCCCGGCAGCCATTGCAGACGCTCTCGCGATATTTCCGCAGTCGTCCGCCAGGCCATATGCACCGATGCGATATGCACCGATATCTGACGACCCACCAATAATCTGGTCGACTGATGCAGTGAGATATAGCTGACGGAATAACCCAGGGGGCGCAGTGGAGCCAAATTACTTAATTTCTCTTAGACAAGATTAAACATTTGGGTCTATTTTTGGTTAATCAGAACCAGAATAAATACATAAATTTAAAAAAAGACAATGGACTACTTTTTAAGCAGTTTATTAAGACGTAGTTGCTTACAAAAGAGTGATGTATGTCAGAGTAACAGCACTTTGAAATTTTGGGCAGGTACGATGTTATAATGTGTCTGTGTTAAAACAAACAAAATGAAAAGTGACATTTTGTGACCTTGTCTTTAGCGGACACTGTACAACAAATGGGATTTATGTTCAGATGTTGCCAAAGTAACAATCATTACATTGCATTGATCACAATAAAAGTGGTGCATTTTATATTTAGATGGCAAATAGGTATAAACAATTCTGGCACCGAGTTTCACACAACGTACGTCTGTAAGTAAAAATGACACATAATCATGCCACAAGGTTTTATTTAGCACCAGCATTGGACGTGTGAATCACAAAGGGGGTGGCAATTATTTTTACTTTTCCTTCAAGAGTACACTTCTTAGAGTAACTCAAATATCGTTCAGTGAAAATGAGCCCTGAACACAACGTACATGATACTGATTTTAACACTGTATGAATTATCAAAACTCGTGTATGTATGTATATATTTTTATATACACATATAAAGTACACCTCATTCCCATAGATCCAAAAAGGACAGTAAACTTAATGAATATGTCTCGCCTTTACATTGATCCATTACACCACACTGTAAAGCATAACGGGAACAAAATGTAAAAGCTATGTTACATGCTAAACTGATGATTAAAGTTACTACTAGTGCTTTCACATTTTTAAATGCCTTGAAACTAATTAGAGAAAAACTTACAGTAAACAAAGATGATTTAACATTGATAAGTTATAGATTTTAAAAAAAGTCACTTGGCTGAATTATTATTGTTTTCTATCTACGGTATCACAGGACTTAGGTACCATTGTCAGATAATTTCAAATCAAACCACAATGTCTGTTTATCAAAAACTGAGATTATTATTTTTTTGATATAAACGAATCAATTTAAATGGCCAAACTTTTTTTTTAAAGGTCAACACAGAAGGTTGAGACTTATAGACCAAACTAAAAATATATATTTTTTGTTATTTTCATTTAGTTCAGAGTTGGTTTCTGGATGGAGTGATATTCATATATTCCTGAAAACTGATTCCCAGTCATTCTCCATTATAGTGCAAACAAAATCAATGACAGAATCAAGCAGAAACGTTGAATCGAAGTAAACGCAGATAAAATCGAATTAAGAAAACATAAAGACTTAAAAAGGGGGCGGGCTTGGGGGCATTGTGCTTTCATTTGATAAGTTTGTAATCTACATATAAAAAGATTTGGTGTTGGAGCAGTTTACACTGAAAAGACAGCATATTTATATGTAAAGCTCGAAACAGAAACATTCACAGATTTGACAAGAAAAGATCCGATCGACCTCTGTGTTGTGGCCAGATGTCTTTCAAACACATTTACTCTTTTTCTACAAACACCGCTGATCCGAAACAGATCGAAACACTCCAAAAATCAAAACACCTCCAACACAGGCCGTTCCTCATTCACTAGCTGCCATAACGCTGGTTGGCCAGGAGGGACACGTCAATGCACACATACAACAAAACATTGCTTTGAATTATATACTAATGTATATTACAAATATGCAAAGTTTTCTTCTTTTTTTTTGTTTGTCTCTCCATACAAGTCATAAAAACATTTGTCAAATAAACAGAAATATATGAGGTCTACACATGCTGTAGAGGGTATGTACAGTCATATAAAATATAGACAATCACATACAAGTTTCTTCTCAACCCACGCGCTCGCACACACACGCACACACACACACACACATACAAGGATTCTCATTCCCACAGGACACAATATACAACTTGTGTTATTTTCAAGAACTTGTAACAAATTGCATTTCAAGATTCAATTTGCTACAAAACAAAATAACACAGCAATTTACTACATTTACATGACTATTTGACTAAAATAACAAAAAAAAGTCAAAATAATACAAAACAGAGGGAAACAAAAAAGGAATTTATAAAATAATGTAGTTATCTGAAATGACAATAGGTTCTAGATTTCAAATTTACAAACCTATCTTTTTGAAACCGCTCTGGATTGTGCTGTTCTGCATTAAAAGGCATCGTTTCACACAAGTTTTTTTTTTTTTTTTTATCTGGAGATGTAACAAGAAACATAAGAGGTTAACATGAAGAAACAGCCACTTAAACCTTGTGGTTTAAGTGAAATAAGGAAAATGATCACATTTTCCCCAGAAATCTTGTTTGGGTGCCAATTACCAATTAGCAGTCCAAATGGACTATTGTTCAGTTTTCCATTTTTCATAAGAAGAATAGAAAATTAAACAAAACTATTGTTATTTATATATTATTTCCCAAATGACTGTTAATCTAACACCTCCTATCTCACAATTAAACTCAGGATACCCGAGCTTTATGTGCCGTTTCTTAATTTTCTAACCAGCACTCCCGCCACGGCATGCGGCATAAAAGCTAAAAAAGGCAGAGGCGCACAGAGAGCATCCGAAGCTCAAAGACCAGCACAGCATTTTGTCTTCACCCAATTATTTGGAACTACACCGATATCTTTTACCACCGGATTCAGCAAGTCACATGTAAATAGAAAATGCGAGCATTAGCAAACTGCACCGCACGAAAACACTGTCAGCAGAAGAAATGTGTGGGCTTGTGAGGCTGCTTATGAAGAGATATGTTTATAAACAAATGATAAAGTTATGCATGTTTCAGTGGTGCAAATTTAAAACATCATATTAGCTTTCCAAACCTAGCTAACTGGTTGGAGGAGCATATTGAGGCTGATTTGTTTCTCTAGTTGGCAAAAAATAAATAAATAAAAAATATGTCAAAATAAACATCAATTGTGAGTTAAATGCTCCTCAATCGATGATGTGGACGATGTAATTCTTATGAAATGTAGTGATTTATTTCACCGCACATTGCACTGATTTATATTAAGTATCTAACGGTGTGTAAATATTGCCAAATGCTTGTATTTAAACGACTCAGATCAGTTTTGCAGGCAAAACAACATTCACTGGCGTATTCCTAGTAATTACAGGTAGCGAGGTCAATAAATATATACAATAAACAACAGAGCAGAATCCTATTTTGTTACACCACAACTGTCCTACAGTATTGGGTGTTGGTAGCAAATCTCAATTATTTTCCCCAGTTAGTTGGAGACTCATCTGTAAGGCATAATTCTCATCAAGGTTAGATTCACCGAGTCCCAGCTTAGATACACCCTAACTAGTAAAACATTTTATATTGGAAATGTTTCATACATTATAAAATGTAGATAAACAAAGAAAACAATATATATATAAATCCTAAATATATCTTCCAGCTGAATAAAAAGACAGCGTTTCTAACAATGTTGGAAACTGAACATGGGGCTAAACAGCGATAAACTTCAAAAGACATTATTGCTTGCACAGTAAACACAAACTTTCCTCGAGTCCGGTGAAGCCAAGTGATGATGAGGAGCTCAGAAACGTTTAGAAGACATGATCTGAAATGCGCGGTGCGTCCCGGGATCTAACCGCCTTTTCTCCCCCGAGAGCGAGCTACGGCAAAACGTAGAAATCAAACCCAAGTGTCGAAAACGAATCTACAGCTTGCATTTCCATGGCATCTTAACTCAGGCACCTTTTTCAACCCGACAGAGAAGAATCACAACGAAGAGCAGAAATACAATGACGCACAAACGAGTATGTGGGCAGTGGCTTTACAAACCTATCTTGCTGCTGATCTCAGCAGCATCCAGCACCAAATTAAATAATGTTCAACAGGATTCGAGCTATCAGTTTAGAGTGCCTCGTTTTGGATGGCACTTTTCTCATGCTTCCCCTATTGATCCCGATGACAGCACACTACTTTAAGTTGTCAAAATTTATTGTACTGTTGAAGAAAAGGTCATGGGGCAGACCTTATTGGGTAAAAACATAACAAAAAGAAAAATAACAGGCCAGCCATGAGCAGATTGGAAGGCCAGAATCAAACAGTCAAAGCATTTGAAGGGAACCAGAAAACTACTTGGCCCGGCTCTGTGCTCAGAACAGGAGCTACTCGGATTTGTGACAGTAAAGATCCTTAAGTGCTTTCAGTTCTTCGATTAGCGTCTTGTTTTGGTTCTCCAGGACGGCGACTCTGTTCTCCAGACATTTAACATACTCCTTCTTCTTCCTGCGACATTCCCGGGCTGCCTCTCTGTAGGAAGGACGAGACACAGTTTTGTTTCTTTCGTGTGTTTGGTTTGGAAAGGTTTTGATGGGATGACAGCAACAATAAAGATAGAGCCTATTTTTAAATCTGCAGTGAATCTTAATCGAGAGCCTGTTATAAATTTAGTACACGGGCCTTCCAGTTTACTGTTGTGGCCCATTTTCCCATTCAAACAACTCTGGGTTTTGTCATAAAGGGGCAGTATTATGTGTTGTCCAGAGACATAGTGCGACAACATGGCACTATCAAGTAACTATGTTAACTGTAGTTGTTTATAAAAATGCTGTACATATAAAATATCACTTAGAAGAAATCTGCCCAATTTAACGCCTTGAAATTGGGCATTAGCCCTGTCACTTTAAGAATTCTGGGGCTTTCTAAAACTTCAAGTCACTAGAACATCGTCATCTATTAACCCTTTAGCAACGTTTTTACCAGCAGACGTGGCTCGTATATTGAGCTCGGCAGTTCCACCGGGTGTTTGCTAATTGCTGCTGGCTAGTCTGAAGGAACTGAGTGGAGGAGAGGAAAGGCTCTGTGAGGTGGAAGTTTGGAGCTGGGTCTCAAAAATGGTTCTGCGTCCAACAAGGCGTTTTGTGCAGCTGAACGATTGACACGGGAGATTCAAGGATTTCTCAAATATGCATGAAAGAATCAAGGACACCCTCTGGGTATGCATTTGATGAGCGCATGGGCTTTCCATCATAACATGATGGAAAGCTCAAAAAAGTTGATTTTACATAATACTGCCGCTTTAAGGCATTACTCCAACGCAAAGATGGACTCCTTGCTCATACCTGTTCTTCATGAGTCGGACTTCCCGTTTTCTGGTGACTTCTTCTGTGGCTCCTTGTGTCGGGAGGGCGGGAGAGGACGCCATGACAACACCAGGGGTGATGGTGTTGGCAGGAGCTGCTCGGATTTGATAGGCCTGAACATCGCCTGAGGTGGCTATGTGTTGAGTAAAAAAGATAAAACGGTTTTACACCCTGTTACCCTGTTTTGTAGTAAATCTGTTGTTAGATTCAAATATCAAACGTTTCTCTGCAATTAAAAAAAATAAAGATAAGAAAGGATCCAGCTCTCACCTTGGACCACCACCTGGTTACTGGGAACCAGTATCTGCTGGCCGTCGCTGGTCTGTGCATACTGCAGGATGGTGGTTCCCGGCTGGGCGGCTGCTGCAGCAGCGTTGGTCATGGTCAGAGTCTGAATGCCCTGAACTCCATCTGTGCCGTTATTGGCCAGCTGAATGGCTCCGCCCTGCGTGATCGCAACTGTGGGGTTGGAGGGAAAAAAGACATAAAGAGCAAATGAGAAATAAGAAAAGGTATTTCTATCTCAGTACAAGGCTTGACATTCTACTGAGATAAGTGATCTGGTCATTCTGATTCTCATTTGATTTTTATTATTATTTCTGTTTTACTTCCAGTTTTGCTTTATTTTTTTTTATTCTTATTTGATATCAATCATATTGGCATGTAAAAGTGGATGTCAGTCATAACACTCAGGCTGTGCATCTTTAATTTCATTCGCAACGGTTTTTTATTTTTTACCTCAGTAACCTTCTTTGGTTTGGCCTGTAAGTAGTTTTTTTTATCTTAATACACTTGTGTGTGCTTAATGGCGCATTGTTTATCCAGGCAGATGATCATTTTTGTTCCAACAGAAATGAAGCGTGAAGTACATCAGGCAATGGAAATTGTATCCAAGTACAAGATGACGACTTTAAAAGACAAAGAAAGGAAGCGGCAGTAACATTTGACATGTGAAAAAATGTGGACTGATTTTAATATCTGATAATATCGCTGTAATGGCCAACAACCGATATTTTCAGATATTATGTACACTTCACAACCATTCTGGCTCCCCCTACAGAAAAAATGGAAACAAGATAAAAAATGAATGTTGGTTGTCAATGTCACCCCAAAACCGACAAGTTAACCGATATATCGTGCACGCCAATGTGCGACAGTCTATGTTGGCAAAAAAAGACGATTTGCTATTTCGTTTCCTATTTAGAAACAAACTATCCACACACGAAGCCAGCTGACACTTACTGTACTGTCCGCTGCTGGTCTGGTAGATGGGCGTCGGCACGGTAACGGTGGTGATGGCGGGCGTAGCTGCGGCAGCAGACGAGTCCTCTTCAGCCTTTTCCTCCTCGATCCGCGGGACCGCCGGCGCGTCGGACGAAAGGTCGTTCAGGATTTTCCTTTCGAGTCAGGAAACAAATTGTGAGGATTCACAACTGCAGGTTTCTTGGTGCAGATTAAAACAACAAGAGGTAAATTAAAGTTATTGCAGCAAGTTCACTGACCACTACGAGAAGCTAAATAGTAAAAGACGCACAAAGCTAAACCTGAGCCGATCCTGGAAAACATGAATTTCTAGAAAATATTTGCAGGATATTCTGAGTCATCCTGGCCAGACCGGGTTACCTGTATGATGGACGCCGCGATAGAATCTCTCTGCGCTTCTGGGAGTCCGTCACGCTGTCGACTGACTCCTGAGAGTCTTCACTTTCAGCTATGGTGGAGATCTAACTCCAACAAGTAAACAAAGCGCGGTGCACGGATTAAACTTAACGTCCCGAATGTTATCACTCACTTCAACTCAGGCGTGTTTTACCTGCACAGCCTGGACCTGCGGGGACTGGATGACAGACGGCTGCGCGGCCTGAATGACTCCGTGCACCTGGACCGTCTGTCCGTTGGGAAGCTGCACCAGCGTTACGGTGGGACCCGTTGCCGAGGCGTGTCCCGCTGTCATGGATACCTTAAACGCAGAGGTGTGACAACATTCTGTTCGATGGGAGCCGGCGTGAAATTTGCAAAAAGTCCAAATTAGTGTCCGTCAACAGCTCCCTTCATTCGACACATAATCCAGCCTTAAGGAATACAGACTCTGCGCTCCAAACAGCAGAAAGCCTCCGACTGCCTCGTGTTACCTGCGCTAACGTGGCGATCTGTGCCGGGGTGATCTGCTGGCTCTCCGTTTCAGTCACAGCAGTGTCCGCCGCCTGCTGAGCCTCGGCTGCTGGCTCCATCTTCATTGGCGAAGCTGAGGACGGGAAATCAGAGCCAAAGTGGGTGAAAACTGAGCTTTTCAGGAGAATCTCTTGGGTTATCTACATTTATTGGCATCCTTGGAAGAAAAATGTTCAAGTTTAGAAATAATATTTCTTTTTTTTTCCTTCCCCAAAACTTCACTGTTCTTTCAAATCAGTTTTTATGAGGCAAATCCACTTTAATACGGTCAAAGTGTCAAGAGACCTTTAAATACTACACCAGTTTGTGCGGTACTTACACAAACTGTAAGTACTACACAGAGACCCCACATCCTGGTGTGTGTGTGTGGTCTGTGACGCAACCTTGTTACCTACGTGAATAATCATAGATTGGCCCATCGCTGGGTTTCTCAGACACATTATGAGCCAAAAGACTAATTTATTTGAATGATTTTTACATTTCTTCACCAAAACTTTTTTAATAGAAAAATAAAATTAAGCGCACTCATCGGGGGCGTCACTTGGCTTTAAAGAGGCAGTACAGAAAGAGTAAGAGTTTTTAAAGAGACAGAGGTGCAATTTCAAGGAATTAAATCAGGAAGTAAAATCTCTTTTATGTTATATTTGTTTTGCTATTATCTATCTATCTTTATATATATATAATATATATATATATATATATATATATATATATATATATATATATATATATATATATATGGCATTTTTATTGCTATATAAAAATGCAATAAAAATGCATTTTTATATATCTATATATAATTTTCATTGCAACTGAAAGTAACATAGTTACTTGATTGTGCTATGAAATAGTAACAAAAGCTGAGAAGTTGCCTTTTCACTTTTGAGGAGATTTAAGAGATACTTTACTGTGTAAATGTTTTAAGCAACCATTGCATATAAACAGAGCTCTGTGTTGTCACAAGGTTTATTGACAGCTTTGTAAAATATTGGGGGGAAAAAACCAGAACAAAACAAAAAACATTACCTTGGAGGGCTTCAGCCCCCCTAAAATAGGCTTAGTGACACACCTGTCGTCCAGAATAATGGTTAAAAGCAACAAACAAACAAACAAACAAAAAAAGGGCAATTCAGATTTTTGAAATTGATCATAACTGCCTAGTAAGTCTTTTTATTAGCGTGGAAGGACATACAAATCCCAAATATGTACATATTAGTGCTGGGATTAGAATCTGTTAGAAGAAATTAAATTATCCACATATGGACTCTTTTTTTTTTTTAATCGGGTACTGAAATGTAGAACATGAGGACCCTCCAACAGGGCCGAGCCAGATCCGAGGTGTTTGTGATACCAAACCAGAGGCAGCCTGCCGATGTGACTCCGGTGATATGTGGGGCGTGCCGAGGCCGCCGCCGACCTGGAACGTGCTGTTCCCTGTTCTCGGTGATCTCACACTGTGCGTAGCGTCTCTCCGCCGCATGATTGGCTTTGCACATTTCTCCCTCTGCTTTTCAAAAATCACTCGGACGCTCTGCGAGTGACAGCCCAGCCACATGGCCCGGGCAACGCCCCCCTCATGCCCCCCCACACCCGAAGGCGAACGGATTACGTCCCAGGAGATGTTTTCATTCAAAAACAACCACAATAAATAAAATGCGATGAAAACACTGTGCGGCCGAGAAAATGATTAAGCGCTAAAAAGAGAGAAACATACAAATCTTCATGTTTTCAGAGTCGACCAAACAGCAGGACTTTAAACTTTATGGATGGAAAAAGAATAAAAAATAATAATCATAAAAACGTTTTAGAGGGCAATAAAATACTCGGTTAAAAGTCGGAGGAAACAAAACTGAGTATATCCAGTGATTTTCGTTGCACCTTTTTTTTTTAGAAGACGGCGCAAAAAAAAAAAAAAAAAAAAAATTGCGCATGTAGCGGCTTTTGCGCCGTAACAACCTTTGGCGGTTGAGCGCGTTAACAAGGCATCATAGCTGATTGTGTGTTAGCGAAACAAAGTGGCCGCCTCGCTTCGCTGTCAAGGCGGCTCGGTTTCCTCAGATTCTCCCCAAACAGCCGCAGCCTCCCCTCCCTCCATCCTGCTACAAACACACCGCGGCGCCATGATCTCTTTGTTTCCTTCGGACCGAACCAGAACCAAACCGACACTTTCGGCGGCCACCTCCCGTCCCTCTGAACCCCGGACGTCCCTTCCTCCTTACCGATACAGACACCCTTTCGTCACTCCCGGGTCTCCGGAGCTCCACTTTTATTCTGGCCGACACGTAAGAGCCCGCGTCAGGCTACACCTCCGCCGCGTCACCGGGAACAACAACACGGAGATTGGAGAAGGACGAGAAAGCAGATGGCGACGCTGACCGGAAACCAACGAAGCATCGGCGAAGATGCCCGGGAAATCCCGAGGACATCCGGACCATGACGACACTCGCCGCCTGGATGGAGCTTCAGGAATATTTTTGGATTTTAGTTGAACATGGAGGTAAAAAAAAAAAAAAAACACACAAAATACACAGCATCACGGAGAAGTCTGATTATTATTATTATTATTGTTATTATTGTTGTTGTTGTAATAACTTACTCTTATAATAATAATAATAATAATAGTTAATATTGTTATATTACAAGATTAATTATTAAGATATAAGATAATTGTTATCAGTGATTTTTAGGTATGCTAGCAACATTTCAAGAGTTTTATGTAAAAAAAAATAATAAATTAAATAAATATAAAAAAAAAATAATAATAATAATCTAAAAAAATGCCACAAAGTAAAATTTAGATGATACCAAGTAGATCATGGATATTACATTAAAAAAATCATTATTACAACCAATCAAAAGTTTTTACATTTTGGGTTTATTGGTGTTGCTTAAACACACATGCTAATGGTGGTGATCCTAAGTGATCCACTTTTTGAAGCTATTCACCTAAAATGTTCAAAGATCTTTCAAGTTCCCCCTGATTAGTAAAAAAATGTGGTAGTTAGTAGTAGACTTTTTTTTATTCACACAAGAGATCATATTTATAACAGTACAGCAAGATAAAAACACTAGCAAATACATTCTGCTTTGAGACAAAACAACATTCTGCTCATCTTTTTTATTCACTTTTTTTTGTGTGCCTGAATCAAATAAATAAATTGCACTTTGGGCAAAATAGATGTTGCCCAAAGTGCAAAAGTCTCTTTTGGCAAGAAGTGACATAGGCTTTTATTTTAGGTAGGTGAGGATATCATCCTCATTTCTGTGAAATGGAGTACTTTATGCAACTATAATTGCTGTCGCTAGGTGGCATCATTAGACCAACATACCTCAACAAATGCAGTTTTTTTAAATTTAAAATAGAAAACAAAAACTTTCTTTGTGGAGAAGCTATGTATGAATGTATATATATATATATATATATATATATATATATATATATATATATAGATAGATAGATAGATAGATAGATAGATAGATAGATAGATAGATAGATAGATAGATAGATAGATAGATAGATAGATAGATAGATAGATAGATAGATAGATAGATAGATAGATAGATAGATAGATAGATAGATAGATAGATTTCCTTCTTCACCTCTTTTAATTTAGAATGTCAACAAAAAGTTAATATGCCTCCGTAGATAAATTCCAAAAAGTGAATCATATGTTATACAGAATAAATACGCACATTGCAGTTTTTTTATTGTTTATCTCTCTTCATTTTGTCACATATAGATCACAATGAAATCTATTTGGCTGATGAAAATTAAAAATTGAACAACAACAAAAAAATCTAAATAAATGCTATGCTGCGCCATGAAAGGAGAATGCTTTCTAACGAGTGCTGTAGTAGAGCTTACTCTGGGAAAGTTAATTGCCAAAAAAAAAAAGAAAAAAAAAGAAGGGGGTACACAAGCAAAAGGGCTTTACCACAGAATTGAGAAGTAGGTGAAGCGAAGCAGTTTGGGAGAAAAGAGTGAAGACACGTGCAAGCTAAGCAGGCTGAGGTAGCACATTTTAGAGCACTGCCCTCAGCTCACCAGGTTTCTGGAGTTGATTTCATTTTCAAGGATATCTTGGCACCTCTGCAGAGCTAGCAGTACCAGGTCCTGATTCATAGACTATCAGATCAACATATTTGATTGGTTAGGAATCTCACATGATGTAATCCCTATAGAGACACCAGTGCCTCCGATGCAGACAAGCTGAAGGCTCCCTTAAAGGCAAGCGAAGTTTCCTTAACTCAGCAGGGTCACAGGCCTCCAGGCAGTAATTTATGCAAAATGAGCGCCTACTGAGTAATGAATGAATGTGCTGCAGAGGCTATGGAGATACTTTCTAGCAAGCTGATATTTCTGTGAAACACTAAGCTGACAGTGGTGACCATCTCTCATATCTCTCATCTTTTATATCATTTTGACTACATGCATAAAAGGCTTTTGGCAACGGGTCAGAGTCCTTTCCAGTTCTTAAGTTTGTATATATCTTACAAATATTTTCCTCTTTATTTAAAAAGTTTGAATCCAGGTCCTTCCTGAAAGGTGTTCTGTTGTTTGAGCAGAATATTAGAACCATCCAGGGATTTTGAGATATTTTTGTCAACACAAAGACGTTTTTTCACATGTTGCCATTTTGCGTTGCAAAAAGCTCTTGCTACTTATCTGCTACCTTAGAACAAGATAAAGCAGCAGCACACCAGGGCTTGGGGGGAAAAAAATGAGCACTCATTCATGGGCGCGAGATGAGTTGCTAAAAAAACGCGTTGTTCCATTTTTTTCTCCTTCAAAGTGGAACCAAAACATGGTTAAACTGGGTTTGTGCTGTGTGGTAACTTGCTCTACATCACCTCTCATTAATTTGCATTTACCTCCCAGAATCTGTCAGCAGCTCTTTTTGAAGCTAAAAGAACTCGCACCACAGTTGGGGAGAAATGGCGTTACAGCTTTCCATCTAATTTACAGCTTGTCTGCATGTTTTGGTGATAAAGTTAGCGAAATGAAAAATCTATATCTCTGATAGTAATTTAGACACAAAATGTTGATTCTAATTACCTGAAATGCCTTCAACAAAATTACAGCCAAGCACTAAAAAACCCCAAAAAATGCTGGGATGCAGTGCTCTAAAGCTTGGCTTTTATTTATTTTATTTTTTTCCCCCTGTGGTTTGATTCTCCCACATCAAAGTCAACGAGAAATGAATAACCAATTCCAGTCGAGAAGAAGCCGGTGTTACTCAGCCGCACTCACAGCATGTGGCCACTTCCTGTGTGCGTTTCTGTCTCCAGCCACTTTCTCAGTTTGAGGCTGCAGGATCCAGCCGGGGTGACAGACTGCATGGCGACAACAGCAAACATTCAACAAACGGTGCAAAACTATTGCACAAAATTGTTTAAGCGAACTTGAATTAACGAGAAATTGATTAAACCAAACAGAATGTGTGAATCTACTCAACTCTGAATTACCTCGTGTGTATTCCCATAACTAAAGTAACAGATGTTTTTAAAAAATGACCAGTGTTTTAGATAAAAACGTGCATGAAACACTCACACAAACCCAATATAAATCACAAATTTAGTTTAATCGGATAGAAGAAACCCCATTCATTTTCACTTTAGTCAAAAATCTGTTGTGTTGTTTGTCGTGGGTTTTAAAAACAAACAAAAAAGAAAAAAAAAATCAAACTTCTGAAATATTTGAATGAGAAACACAGAAATTGTGGCTCACGTCAATCAGCAACAGGGGTCGGCTGCTCAAAAATGGCGTTCAATTCAAGAAATACTTGTGCATCTTCAAGGAAACAGAGCCAACCCTTATCTGCACCTTTCAAACACTTAACGGGGTATTTTGGCGTCAGCCAGCAGGGGGCAATGTGGTTTCAGATGAAAGTGTTGACGTTCGGTGTATGTGCCTGTGTGTGTGTGTGCGTGGGTGTGTGTGTGGATCCTCGCAGCGTGGGGTGGCTGGTTAGTGGTTGGGTGCTGAGCAGACCACTGCAGAGCCCACGAGCCATGAATCTCAGAGAGAAGTGGATGTGGGAGTTTCTGTGGGTTGGCTTATTAACATTTCATTTCTTTATTTTCCTCTAATTCTTCTGTAGGAAAAAAAAAAAAGCACAACCCCCCCCCACCCACAACTTTAAGATCACCATTAAACATCAATCTTCACCGGGTTGGTGCTCTTAGAATAATTCTGGTCCATGTGCGATGATGATGTCATAGCCAAAGGATTGATACATTTTCAAAGCAATGTCTGCCTATTTGTGAGCAGTATTCACAGTGCTGGAAAACACAAAAACAAACAAAGAAACGACTGAACTGAGCTCTTCAGATTGTTGATTATCTGTAGAAGACTTTTTAAACACGAGGGGCAGAATGGCTCTCTAATGGAAAACAAGAGAAAAAAAAATCAAACAGCAAGTCAGTGGGTTAGTGCAAAAAGAGCTTAATACTTACTGCTCATTAAATATGCAGCAGGAGTGTCTTACAGGAAGACATGTTATTGATGTACGCTTGCAGACTGCGCAGGCCAAAATAGATGCAAGATAAATTAACTATCATGTTTTTCCCCCCTACAAGATAAAAAAAAAAAAGAATGTAAAAGAAAACGTGCAAGATTGTTTTTTTATACATATTTATGTTAGAAACCATGTTTGGTGTCCACACACTGGTTCCTCCACAGTCTGTTTCCTGTCCTCACTTAGCCCGTAATGACACGTTGAAGTCTTATGAAAGGATTTTTGTGTTAATGTATTTCCTTTGATTTTCTGTAATGCACCCACATGAATAATGCGACACAAACCGACTATGGTGCGTCCTGGGCGGAATGATGCACCACGACCATGCTTTACGTTGACCTTCCGCTGCAATATCAAAGTTTTATGTTTCGGTGCATTGGCAAAATCAAAGAGCAGCTAATGTAACACACCTTCCCTGGAAATGTCTTCCAACGTTACCGGCACTCTTTTTGTCATTGGACAATGTCTTGCTGCAGAGCCAACGTTCAGGTAATCCTTCCTGCGCCCCGCCCAGCTGGAAGAAACGTCACAGGCTAAATGTTGAAATATAATATTTATTGTACACATTTTAATAGCATTGGAAAATGTTAAGAATGGCTGTTTGTCAGAAACTACAGGAACCACATTAAAACAAAAAAATATATATTTTCCCACCCCCATCTCACGCAAAGGACATTGTGTTGGTCTCTTTATTTGTAAAATGGACATTTCTATATGGGTTATTGCAAAAAAAAAAAAAAAACAAAGAGCAAAACAGAGAAACCACATTGTTATAACATTTGTTGAGCAATTAATGGGTGTTTATGTGCAAAGCTTAGTACAGATTCACAGCATTAAAGGAGCATAACACCTTTTTTCAGTTTTGTAGTTAGTTTTTTGTGCAAGAGACAAAATACCATTGCTCTGCTAAAACAATGGGTACCATTAAAAGCTAAAAGGTTTAAATATTAAATGTTATTTGTGCCGAATAAAAGTGTTT